TCTTGCTAGGGGTAACAAGCAATTTCCAGTCCTGCCTCCTTCCTGGAGATTCAGAACTTTTTAAAAAGCCAGAAAAACTTTTGGGAGGGGAGTGGGATCGGTCCAGGAGGCATTTTAGAGCTATTTCCCATAAGGAAAGTAGAAATAATAGCAGTGGTAAAGGCTATGCTGGTATACATTGGCCTATTGTGGTGATTTATGATGGATAGACCTATTTCAGCCAATTCTGTGTTTTGTCATGTATAGTGAATTTTCTGTTTCATGGAATTTTCTTTCATCTCAAGCACTGAGGATTATTGATACTTTTTGAATGCTATAGGCACGGAGAGTAAAGATAAGACCAGGACAGGGAAGAAGCGGCAGACTGAAGTGTCATTTGATTATTGGGATTCACACAGACAGACAGACACATCCACACACACATTCAAGATATTCATTGCAATATGCAGATTTGTGATTTGGTTTTCCTTGTTTTTTAAGAGAGTTTGAACAAACAATTTTCTTTTAAGGATTTAACGTATGTCAGTAGACAATAGGAGAATGCCCCAAGATTGAAGTCACCTACTATTGGGCTGGAGAACAATGATGGTGTATTTCATGCCAAAAATATTTGATGCATGTTTGTCTTTGTCAGATTACAAATAGTCATATATACACTTATCTAAGAGTTTATTCCATTTACCTCAACGGACTTACTGCTCAGTAGATGAGTACAGAATTGTGCTGTTTACTCAGTAATACATGCTACAGCAAAGAGGATGAGTAGTGCCATATATCAGAATAAGACACTGGGGCTTGAAGTACCGCTAGAGATGTCTTGAGGACATGCATCCTCCAATCATTTAATTAGGAGTTCAGATAAATGTCAAGAGGTGTTTATTTCCATTGATATTCAAACTGGCCTTCATTGCACAGGATTAGGGACTATGTAGCCATCCGGACATTGCTCAGCCATTGGCTATCCTGCTTAAGGCTAGCATGTGTTGCAATCCTACAACTTCCATAGGGTCACATTTTCCACACTCTGACATATGGGGTCCCCTATAAATTTGGAAAGCCAGAATTTGTGTTGATTTTTACAGCTGAGGATGGCATAAGTTTTTTAAAAGGGATGCAGTGTTAGAAGAAGAGAATTCATTCCATCAAGGAAGTAAAAGACCTGTTGAAAACTAGTGCTCTTAGAAGTCTCTCATTCATCAGTACACTCTAAGTCAAAGCCAACATAACAGCGAATAACAACAAAATTCAGTACTTTCATATGTATCCTCGATAAATTTATCTGGAGAATACATCACATTCTATCATCTCTCTTCTATTTATATTTTCCCAAAAAAGGAAACATAAATTTGTACATACCACCAGCTTTGCTGTAATACACGATTGTACCTGAATGCTGTATGATTGCTCAGTCTCCTTATGCTTGCCTCCCACTTACATTCTTGTGAGATTGTGGCCCAATACATCAGTCACCTAGTCATGCAGAACCACTGCTTAACATACAAGTAGGTACATTATGTATTGTAATTAGATTTTGAGAAACTAGCTGAGGCTGGTACCGTTAAGCTCACACAGGCAGAAACACTATGGCTCACACCATCTTGCAACTGCCTTAATAACTTGCTAGCAAAATGGGCAACACACGCTTTCAGCCGAGATGATAATAATAATTTCTGGCCTTTCTTGATTCAGCATAATCTCTGGCGCCTGTCTAAATTGTATCTATCCAACCTGCAATAATCTTGCATCCATTGGTACCTGGTACAGTAATTACAATGTCAAGGGGTCTTTCATTATAAACCAGTAAATTATCATCTTCTGTCCAGGCAGTGGGCAGAGACTGAAAATTGTGGACTTCTCTGTGCTCTTTTTTTATGGTAGTGGTGGTGGTGATGTTGAGCCATCCCAGCTTTTTTCCAACCAAGTGCTCTCCATAGGAGCCCCCGGTGGCACAGTGGCTTAAAGCGCTGAGCTGCTAAACTTGCTGATCGAAAGGTCACAGGTTCATATCTGGGGAGCAGCGTGAGCTCCTGCTGTTAGCCCCAGCTTCTGCCAACCTAGCAGTTAAAAAAAAAACCAAATTTGAGTAGATCAATAGGTAGCGCTTTGGCAGGAAAGCAATGGTGGTCAATGCAGTCATTCTGGCCACATGATCTTGGAGGTGTCTACAGACAACGCTAGCTCTTCAGCTTAGCAGTGGAGATGAGCACCAACCCCCAGAGTCGGACACGACTGGACTTAATGTCAGGGGAAAACCTTTACCTTTACCTGCTCTCCATATATGTTGGAAACACAGGTTCCATCACTCCACACCATCATAACCATTAGTCGTGAGAGCTGGAAAATAATGGGAACTATAGTTTAGAAGATGAAGTAGTGTTAAGTTGAGGGCAAAAAAAACCCAGTATTTTTTATTTCTACTTTCAGAAAATCTAGTACACACAAGTAAACAGATTATTTGCAGTGCTCTCTGATCCCAGAATTTTGTAGCAACCAGGAGTAATAGCCACATTCACAAGAAAACTTACAAACAGAAAACACACAGCAGAAAACACACAAACTCTCAATTGAAAGAAAGAGGAATCCATGGGGGTATATCAGAAATGATAAGACTGGATGCTGATGTGTCTCCAATAAGGCATAGCATATCTAAAATGAGAGCTATGGATGATGGAAATCATCACTATAGGTGGAAAAAGGAGGAGACAGCCTTACTTAAGTAGACTTAAGTAGGTATCTGATCTGTTTGTGTCTGAGGAAGGTATATTCATTCTTTCCTCATATAGCTATTCACTAGAATTGACAGTAAATATCTGCTAGTTTTTAGATCTGTTGTTTTTAGGTGACTTTAAAGTGGCTGTGATCTATGACTCGCCTATCAAACGGGTTTCTTGACAAGATGTATTCACAGGTTTGCCTTTCTCAAAGGTTGAGCATTCAACTTGCCAGGGTCACCCACTGGGTGTTTGTCTGTCTGTCTGTTTGTTTGTTTTGTTAAAAATGTAATACAACTGTCTGGTTGCTCCTGACACAATAAGTAAAAAAAACCCACTGGGTTTCCATGGCTGTGCAGGGATGCAATCTCTGGTCTCTAGGATCCTAGTCCAATTAACCCACGATGGCATGTGGTTCCTCATGAATATCTTAAATGTTGCAATATGCCCCTACGAGCAAAACTCATCAGGAGCCATTGGGGGGGGGGGGTGTTTTAATTGGGTGGATCTCACTGTCTGTAAAGCAATGATCCAAGACAGCAAAAGTTAGCATGGCTAGAAATACCCTGGATTTTGTCATTAGTGCAAATAGAGATTCTTTGCTTGGGATAACTACTCCTGAATCTTGAAAATGTATGCAGACTGATGTGTTGTCAAAGGCTTTCATGACCGGAATCATGGGGTTGCTGTAAGTTTTTCAGGCTGTATGGCCATGTTCCAGAAGCATTCTCTCCTGACATTTCACCTGCATCTATGGCAGGCAAAACGTCAGGAGAGAATGCTTCTGGAACATGGCCATGCAGCCTGAAAAACTTACAGCAACTCTATGTAGACTGATGTTTTTCCTTCTCTATAAAGTAGATGGAAACTCGGAACCAGCAGTCAACTGGGAAAGCTCTGGGTTGCCCTGTTTCTACTCTTCTTCCTCTGTGTAATACTTCAAATCTTCGAGAAGTTACATTACACCAGGTAGGTTCTGTCATGCAAAAGATGGCAAATGCTTTCTATTAGACCCATACACTCTGGGAACACAAACACTGATTCTTCTTTCATTTGCTCCATTTATCACTAGTGCAATATATATTCGATGCAATTGTTAGCAAACTTATCAAGGCTAAATGTGAAGTCCAGTTGGCCCTATGTACCTCCAGATTTTGTATCCATGGATTCAAGCATCCACTTCTAACAATATTTTTAAAAAATCCAAAAAAGCATATCTTGATTTTGCCATTTTTATAAAGGACATCATTTTACCATGCCATTGTATATAATGGGAGCATCTATTGATTTTGGCATTTAGAGGTGAATGGGGAATCCTGGATCCAAACCCGTAGATACCAAAGGCCCACTGTTACATTAAATGTATCTGTATATTTAAATATGAACATTTTTAAATGCATTTGGCATCTACTGAAGAGGATAGTGTTGATACTTTTCACAATAATTGCAGGTTAGGAGGAGATAGCTATCATTTCCTTCACTTCTGCTGTCTTGAGCAGAAATCACTTCTTTGAAGCAGTTATTTTCCTTGGATAGAAATCAAGATTGGCACCTCCAAACTACTAACAGCAAAGTGGACAGCTGATCTGACTCAAGACTGTCATGGAGAGTAGTTTAGCCTTCCCAACTGGCATAGTTCAGGTTAACCTTCACCGCTATCCCTGAAGGTTGATATTTGCATTGCGAAGGAAGTGTCATGTGTAGCTTGGCTCACATTCATTGTGCAAACACAGGTGTATATATAGGAACAGTGGAGTGGCCTTGCAGATGTATTTGTAATGGGGGTGGACAATCCAAAAGAATTATTGACCTTTTCAGTCAATTGATTGACTGACTGGTTGAAGCAGATGAAAATTAGTGTGAAGAGAACATTGATATTAATGTTTGTACATAACCATTGAATAAAGAAAACATTTTCACTAGAGTCATGATTTGCATATGTAGCATATTATACCTAAAAGGAATGGAAAATATATGTATATGAATTACCAGTAGATGGAAAGGAAAGAGTTTTGAGGAGATAAGCTATAGAAAATAAGTTTTAGAAGTTGGACATTAAATGGCAGGAAATCTCTTTATGATTAATATTCTGTTCTTCACAGCAACTGTAGATGTGATTTCAGACAGAATCAGCTTGATCTCCAAGAGAGCAGAGGCAATGAGAATTCCTTCCGGTTTCAAGTGAACCCAAGCTCTGTCCCTCTTCATTCAGAACGTGGACAGAATAGGACCCCACAAAACAAGGAAAACGAACTGTCACCAAAAACTGCAGAAAAGAATAGAGCTGCCATGAGACCAAGCATAGCATTTGACAAAACCAAACTTCTGGATGCCAGCTGGGGCAGTGAAGAAGACTTCTGGCAAAAAGTGCTTTCAGAGGAGAGAGAGATGTTGCAGGTCCTCCATAAAACAAACCAACCGGACCCAAAAAATCGCAGCACTGAAAAAATCCCTGTAAGAGACCAGGAAGTACTGAGCCTCACTGACAATATGAATTATATTGGTACAATAAACACTAGAAGTTCCTTGATCCAGGAGGCAAATCCCACAACAGGGTTCATTGAAAAGGATCAAAACTCAGAATTTTGGGGGCCACAGAGAAGCTATGCTTCCAGAGGTACTACAAGGACTAAACCATGGACTTTTTCAGACCCAAGAGACAAAATGCCAACTGAGATGGCTTTGACAAAAATACCCAAAAGGCCAACTCAACCAGAAGAAATGATTGTTCCAAAGGGTCAAAGAACAGCTGGGGCCAGCATCCCTGGTCTCTCTCAGCCTGCAACATGCAAGCCTAAGACTCGTGTTGTTTTCCTAAAAGTGCACAAGAGTGCCAGCAGTACTGTCATGAACATCTTGTTCCGTTTTGGAGAGACTCACAACCTTACCTTTGCCTTGCCTGTCAATGGAGCCAGTCAGTTGTATTATCCATTATATTTCACAGCTGCAGCAGTGGAGGGATATGTTCCAGGCAAGGATTCCCAGTTTGACATTATGTGTCACCACATGAGATTCTTTGAGCCAGAGGTAAGAATCACAAATCAAGCTGAGCTAACATTTTTCTAGAAAATTACTGGTAAGAATTAGGTTCTTTCCAAATGTTAGGAAAGAGACACCCCATTGGTTAAGGAAGGAAATTGTATGTGGGAAGGGGTGGAGAGAATCGAGCAAGCACTTATTTATGTGAATGAATGGGTGGATGTTTGTATTAAATGTATATCCCAACTCATATCTGAAAACCTCAGGGCACTGTACAATAAAGTCAATTTACGATAATAAAAAGCATACTTTTAAAATAAATAACATGTTGTTTAAAACAAGACAATTTAAAACCAGTTAAAACACTGTATTTACTCGATTCAGGGTTTTGAAAATTGAGGTGCACATTAGATTCGATGGCGCATTTGACTTGAGTAACTACAGTAATATTGACCTTAATGTGCAAACTGGATGAAGTAAGCCCCAAAAGACTTTACCAAATAAGCCATGTTTGGTCATGTTTGAAATAACACCAGTATTGGTGCCAGCTGGGCCTCTGAAGGATGTATATTCCACAGCCAGGATACCACAGCAGAGAAGGCCCTGTTACACATCCTTCCACGAATGTGTTGCCTCCACTGTAAAGCCCTTCCAACAGATCTCAGTTCTTGAGCAGGCATATAAGGGAGCGCACAACACTCCCTGTGCAATGCTTCTTCCACATTTGGAGATGCTCCCATTTGATTAATATCAATATAAAGTTGCAAAGATCGTCAGACAGTATTCTAAAATGGATAGCAGATTATAGATTATATGGATAGCAGGCCAATAGCATACACCTACACCATGAGGGATCAACATAATCAAGTGCCCAAAGCATGTGAAATGGGATAAATTTAAGAAGCACTCTCCCCCAACCTGGTACTGTCCAGATGCATTGTATTGCAGTTACCATCATCCTCTGCCACTGTGGTGATGCTGACTGTGATGGTCAGAGTCCTAATGAATCATACCTAGATGGCACCAGGTTAGGGAGGGCTGTATAAGAGTAGAAGCTTTAGCATCCATTATACACTTTAACAGTTGGATCCCTGTAGTTGTAAATATGCCAGTGAAGAAGTCCAAACTTTCTGTCTTTTTTAATCATTATTATCAAGTGCCACAAACATACATGTGACTTTACACAGGATGCGAGAGAGCATTCATATCTCATACAGCTGCAGTCTAGTTAGCAATATATGGGGGAGAAAGAAAAGGAAAGGCAAAGAAATAGCAAAAAGAGGAAGAATACACTATTATAATATGTACATGTTGATGAAGATCAGTGCTCAGAACTACAGCTCCCAGTTGTTGTTGTTGTTGTTGTACTCTTACAATCCCCTCGCCATTTACTATTGTTAAGACTAATGGCGTTTGTATCCTGACAATATCTAGAGAACCATAGTTCTCTAGATATAGATGTTTGTTATTCTAGATATAGAATAGATGTTTGTTGCAACAAAAAAAAAGCCTTATGGGAAAATTGGAAAGAGCTGATTTTTGTGATTTAGCTAACCTTGCTTTGATTTTCCTGTTGCTACCAATTCTAGGTTGCTAAAGTAATGGGAAATACTACCTTTTACTTTGCCATCCTCCGGAATCCTGTTTATCTCATGGAATCTTCATTCAATTATTATAAAGGAACATCTTCATTTTCCAAAGCCAAAACCTTAGAAGAATTTCTCAACCAGACTTCTCTGTTTTATAATGCCTCAGCCAATGATAGCCACTATGCCAAAAACTTAATGACCTTTGATTTTGGATACAACAACAATGGAAACTTTTTCACCAAACGTGTGCAACTCATGGTGAGAGCCATTGAGGCAGAATTTGACCTTCTCCTGATCTCAGAGTATTTTGATGAGTCCATGGTGCTGCTGAAGAAGCTCTTGTGTTGGGACCTGGATGATGTGGTCTCCTTCCCTCTCAACAGTAGGCATAACAGCTCCAAAAACCATCTCTCAGAAAGCACCAGAGAGCAGATCAAGAATTGGAACAAGCTAGACTGGGAACTTTATGTGCATTTCAACAGGACCTTTTGGGAAAAGATAGATTTGCACATTGGCCAGGAGTTCATGCAACAAGAAGTGAGGTTGCTTCAACAGAGGCGCAAGGAGCTGGCTGAGATTTGCCTTCAAGAAGGTGGCAGCATACCACCCAAGCTGATCAAGGATCGGGCATTGGCACCATTCCAATATGGAAAAGCAAAAATCCTAGGCTATAACTTGAAGGATGGACTAGATAATACAACAAGGCAGATGTGCCAGAGCTTGGTGACACCTGAGCTTCAATATAGTAAACTCCTATACAGGAAACAGTTTCCCAAAAAAGCTTTGAAGCTCAGCAATTCAGCTCGCTTGGCAAATCTACACTACCGCAGGACAGTTTGAAAACAAACCAATGAGGCACATATTTGTTAGGCTCTGATACACATTTTGGCACCATCAGGACTAGCTAGGCTGCTGGCCTGAAGAAGAATGGAAAGGGCAGCTACAGAATATGCTAATATCAAATGCACATCTTTCATTAATTTATTACTAGCACTTTAAAATATATCAACCTGCTTAAGTGCCTTTCATCTTGCATCCTTAAGCTGTCATACAGATACTAAAGTCCCTGCAGCTTGGATGGAAATGAATATTTTATCAGATGCTAGAGTACAAATCCCATCCTTGACCATTGGTTATGCTGTCAGGATCCAAAGGACATTCAGCATTATTTGGAGGACCACAATTTCCCACCCATGTCCTATAGCTTCCAAGGAGAAAATTACTATCCAACTATCAAAAGCTAAAAACATCCAGACAATAATTAATCCATAGTAAACTACATTAGACACTGCTGAATTGGACCTTGAAGAACTGAGCACAGAAAACTCTCTCCCATGAAACTTACATCAAAGCCCCCCTCATACAAATGGAGTACCCCTTCCCCACTTTCCATAGTACTCATACACAATCCAACACATATTTTGGTACCTATGGCAGGAAAGTTCACAAAAGCTTGTCTCCCATTGGTTAGCAATAAAAATAAATAAAATAACACAGTAAATAACTTTTTAAAATGCTGGCCTTTCTTTAGACCCTAAATCTGCCACCAGACTCAAGTGCCTCAACTCTGCCTGATGTCGGCTGCTCTCCAGTTTGACATTCTTTCTCTCACACTTTCACACAGCCTGCTATCATATTGAGGATCTTTCATGCAGAACAATTGGATTCTGTATTTCCAAGTAGCATGTAGATGTAGAGGAGATATGTCATTTCTCTGTGGGGAGGGACAGACACTAATTCTGAATCAAGTGTTGATTGAAGTAAAGTTGGCAATTTGTCTCATGCAAAGAAATATCTGTGTGTATATTTACTAAAATAATAGAGGAAATAAGTTCTGTTAATCAGATAAGTGGCAAAGTGAACCATGCTAATCCAGTTATTCTATGTGGTATGCCAGCATCTGATATATACTCCCTAACATAACCAGACGACCATATCTATATAAATAAAAATGTAATGTTCATTTGTGGGATTAACAGAACTCAAAAACCACTGGACAAAATGACACCAAATTTGGCAACAAAACACATTCTAATCTGATCTATGTCTTTCAAACAAAAAAATACAAAACAAAAAATGAAGGGGAAATAAATTAAAACTCCCCAAAAAGAAAAATGCCTTACAGAGCATGCGCAAAAGCCCCTCTCACCATTGCACGAGAAGAATGAAGCACCAACCATTCTGAGGGAAGAGAAGCCTCGCCATGGAGTCCCTTTCCATGTGTGGGCCCTCCTCCCTCCCCTCCCTCCCAGTCTTCTTCCTCTCTTTGTTGGCCCCACCAAACACAGAGCTCTCCTCCTTCTTTTCCCCCTGGAGAGACGGGTGGGTGGCTGCTCCGTGTGGACGCTGCTCCCCAGGCTTCACCTTCTCTTGCCTGGGCGCCAACGAGAAGGGAGTTCTGCAGCTCTCAGCCTTGCAGGGCCCAGCAGGGGCGGGAGGCACTTTTTGAGGTGGCCCTTGCTCACCCACATTGGCCCCTTCTTTCTGCCTCAGCCACAGGGCACCTTCCATATGACCCTGCCTGCGTGCCCACCCACCAAACAGGGAAGGCGCCCCGTAGCCATGGCAGAAAGAAGAAGGGGCGGCACTGGGTGAGCAAGGCCTGCCTCGAAAAGCGCCTCCCGCCTGCCCCACACCCAACCCAACAAGGCTGAGGGCTACAGCAAGACTCCTTTACTGCTGGTGCCCAGGCAAGAGGTAGAGAAGGGAAGGAAGGAAAGAGGGAGAAAAGAAAGGATTGAAAGAGGGCAGGAAAGAAAGAAGGAAAGAGAGAAGGAAGGATGGAAGCAAAAAGCAAAGGAAGGAAGGAAAGAGGAAAAGGAAAAGAAAAAGGGGGAAGGAAAAGAGGTAGAGAAGAAAGAAAGGAGAGAAGGAAAAGAAAAAGGAAATGAAGGAAAGAGGAAGCGAAGGAAGGAGAGAGAGAAGGAGGGAAGGTTGGCCACAGCAACACTAACAGACCAATGAGTGTCCATCACTCATAACCCCCCCCCAAAAAAACAACAGTGGAAAGGACTTAAAACCCCCCAAAAGACAATGATGAAAAGTAAGAGAAAGGAAAAAGAAATAAGGGACTAAGAGAAGGGGGAAAGGAAGGAAGGAAGGAAGGAAGGAAGGAAGGAAGGAAGGAAGGAAGGAAGGAAGGAAGAGAAGGAGAGAAGAAGCATGGAAGCAAAGAGCAAAGGAAGAAAGAAAGAGGTAGAGAAGGAAGAAAGGAAAGAAAGAGGAAAAGAAGAGGGATGGAAAGAAATGGGTAGAGAAAGAAGGAAGGAGAGAAGGAAAGAAAAAAGAAAGGAAGGAAAGAGGGAGTGAAGGAAGAAGAGAAAGAAAGAGAAAGAGGGAGGGAAGGAAGGAAAGACAAAAGGAAGGATGGAAGCAAAAAGCAAAGGAAGGAAGGAAAGAGGCAGAGAAGAAAGAAAGAGAAAGGGAAGGAAAAGAAAAAGGGAGGAAAGAAAGAGGTAGAGAAGGAAGGAGAGGAGGAAAGAAGAAAAGGGGAGGAGGGAAAGAAGGAGAGAAAGAGGGAGGGAAGGTTGGCCACAGCAATAGTAAACCATCCTTTATATATAGCTGGATGGCTCTTCGTCAGGAGGGCTTTGATGACGTTTTCTTGCCCTGATGAAGGGAGTTGGACTGGATGGCCTTAAGTATTTTCTTTTGATCATGGGGGTTCTGTGTGGGAAGTTTGCCACAATTCTGTCATTGGTGGGATTCAGCATGCTCTTTGATTGTAGGTGAACTATAAATCCCAGAAAGTACAACTCCCAAATGTCAATGTCTATTTCCCCCAAACTCCATCTGTCTTCATATTTGGGCATATGGAATATTCATGCCAAGTTTGGTCCAGATCCATCATTGCTTGAGTTCACAGTGCTCTCTGGATGTAGGTGAATTGCAACTCCCAAGCTCAAGGTCAATCCCACCAAACCCTTCTAGTGTTTTCTGTTGGTCATGGGAGTCCTGTATGCCACATTTGGTTCAATGCCATAATTGGTGGAGTTCCGAATGCTCTTTGATTGTAGGTGAAATATAAATCCCAGCAACTGCAACTCCCAAATTACAAAATCACAAAATTTTGAGTGAATGACATACATTGGGTTGTTAGGTGCATGCTGTCCAAATTTGGTGTCAATTGGCCCACTGGTTTTTTTAGTTCTGTTAATCCCACAAACGAACATTACATTTTATTTATATAGATTGTATTCCCCCTGTCAATGCTATAAGAAGACCAAATTGCAAATCTTGCCAATTTCTATATGTGGAACTGGGGCAAGCAATACCAATTGTTTCCACTCAAACAACAAAATATCTTGGTCCAGCTCTATGCAGTGTTTCTGGTGGCAGGATTATTATACCACCCTGAAGACAAGGACTCAATGGAGCAATGGATTCAGGAAAAGATATTCCACCTGAATATTTGGAATAACTTCCTGACTGAGAGCTGTTCAACAGTGAAACTCTCTGCCTCAGAGTGTCATGGAGCGGTCTTCTTTGTATGCTTTTAAACAGAGGCTGGATGGCCATCTGCTAGGGGTACTTTGATTGTGGTTTTTCTGCATGACAAAGCTTGGACTGGGTGGCTGGGTGGTCTTTCCCAATCCTATCAGTCTATGATTCTAAACTTGTTTGGTAAGAAAAGTGGCCCGAGAAAGTCTTAGTGCCTCCTAAGTATGGGTAGCATTAGGCTGAAATCCAATTGTTATCGTCAAGTAGAATAGACCCATTGAATCAGTTAAATTTAAATAAGTGTTGGTTTCCAAAATTCTCATTTTCATAGCTGCTTTGAGTCTCCTTTGTGGAGAGAAAAAGCAAGATAAATAAACATCTCGCCATCACCAAGGATGCAATGAGTCTAGTACTGGGACTGACAATTCAGCCTAAACTTTCGTGTTTAATTGCAGCTGGGTTGCCTCCATTGGCATTGAAGATTTTGGATAAGTGAAGAGGAAATATAATAGAACAGGATGAGCAACCTAGCTATAGTCCTCAAAATGTTGTGGAACTGAAACTTATATTAATGCCTTAGCTGGCAGTCCAGCAACATCTGGAAAGGCATCAGCTGCCTATTAGTTCAACAGAGTTAAGATTGTTCTTTAACAGGTTAAAGAATCGTTGACCTTGCTCAATGTTTACAGAGAGATTTGTACTTTTAGCACAACTAGAGACCTAATCAGCCAATCTAAATAGCACAAGTTTAATTTAGATTGGGAATTGACTGAATAGTTATCACAACCTGTGAGGCAAAACTATACAAACAGTTGATTCTGTATCCTGACAGAGGTGCAAGAGCCAGATTTAATTGTACTAAAGCTGACATTCTATATCTGTGTATCTCAGAGTCAGCCAATCAAATTTATTTATTATTGTATTTATTTACAACATTTCTACCGCACCTTTCTCCACCCCGGAGGGGACTCAAGCTAGCTTACACTTAGGCAACTATGCTTAAGTATGAGCAAATAGATGATAGATAGATAGATAGATAGGAATGCATTTTTGTGGTTTTGGTTACCTTAATGTAAATCTAACTTTACCTTATATTATTCTACAAAATCATCTTATATCCATGTCCTTGACAGAGTTTCAGGAGCTACAATTTCATCTTCTAGTATAATTGAGCAATGGGCTAATAAATCCAAGTGGTTAATTTTACAGATGTGAAATACATACATGAAGTATAGCAGGTGAAACAGCCTCATGGGTTTGTTTATTATTTATTTATTTATTTATTGATATTTCTATCCCACCTTTCTCAGCCCAAAGGTGACTCAAGGTGGCCTTACAACATAGGCAGCTATTCCATAGCGTAACCATATACAGTATAAAATATAAAACATTTAAACCATGAATTAAAACATACATTTAAAACCCTTAAAACAGCCAATCTTAAGCTCCTAGAAGGTTCATAAGGAGATATACGTTTGGACAGGTAAGCTGGGCTCTAACCATTTAGGGCTTTATAGGCTAAAGCCAGCACTTTGAATTGTGCCCAGAAACAGACCGGCAGTCAGTGGAGCTGAGGCAACAGGAGAGTTGTATGCTCCCTGAGCACCACTCCAGTGAGCAATCTGGCTTCCGCTCGTTGGACCATTTGAAGTTTCTGAACAGTCTTTCACAGGCAGCTCCACATAGAGCACGTTGCAGTAATCTATACGGGATGTAACCAGAGCGTGGACTACTGTGGCCAAGTCAGACTACCCAGGTTGAGTTTCTTATCTGAAATACTTGGGAACAGAGAACTTTTTGGAATTTGGATGTTTTTCCCTCAGATTTTTGAATAGTTGTATTTTAATATAGTGAGTGAATGAGAGAAGGAGGGCTAGTCACACATTCTGCACCTGTGGATCTCCTCTGTCTTCCTGGTTGCTTTTCTAAAAATGCAAACACAGGAGAACTGTTGAGAACATCTGCTTTTTACAGGGGTCACCTCTACGTGGAGCCCTCCCCTCTTCCCTTTTCCCCTCAGTGCAGATACTAGATGTGTGAGTAGATCCATTTTCCTAGAGGTGAAAGTGAGTTACTGGTGACAAAAAGTTTCCATTTTTGGAGAATTTTGGATTTCTGGATAAGGGAGACTCAAGCTGTGTTTGATGGTTTTGGTTTTCATTTCTGTCACAAATGGTGGGAGGTGTTTGCAGGATTTTTGTCTCACGTGCTAGGATTACATCACTAATTGTGGGAACTATGCACTTTGACATGGTTGGCTAGGATTGCCATTTGCCAAACTACAGGCAGCAAAAGACATTAGGGTAATGTCTTAAATATCTGATTTATTGTCAGCTGTGTCCTCAATTGACACCCAGCCATCCCATTTTGTGAGCTGTGCTCTCTGCCAGTCCTCCCCAGCCTGGTGTGTTTTAGTTGTGTTGGACATTTTCAACAATTCATCACAACCATAGCTAATGCGATGTGAAAGTTGTGTCCCATTGTAAGTGGGGGACACCAGGGTTGTGTTCTGTGTTACTTGTGCTTAATATATTTTGTGTTTTGAATTTTTTTTTCCCTGCACACCACCTTGGCGAAGTATGTGGTAACACTTAATAAAAGAAAAGTGGAATACACAACCAATTTTTTGCAGTTTTTTTTCTATTAATAGAGAAGAATTAATAGGGGTGGGATAGATAAACTCAGATCTTGAGATGATTTTTTTATAGTTTCCTTTAAGAGTTGTATAGAAAGGAACACTTTACATGATGTGACTCGTCCTGTGACAGTACTGCTCTGATAGGATATACAAGATCTCATGAATGTCTCCCTTTTGCAATACAATACAACCCTCATATCAATGAGACTGATATTTATGGGCCTCTTTTACAAGCTTCACCCACTTTTCAGCACTTCATTTTCTCCCACTGGAAATAATAGGTTTCACGAGGATACACCATTTTATATTTTCAGGCAAGGTCCATGCATGTTTAGTGATAGATACGGGGTTTTCAGAGGTATAAGAGAAATCTCCTACTCTTCTATGGCCATCCTGACTGGGCATGAGGGAGTTGCAACCTATCTATGTTCACCAGATTGAAGGAAAACTGTTCTGGACTTAGGAACCATAATAATCAACTAGATACGCAAGTACTCAGTGACCAATGTGGTGCAATGAAGTCCTGAAATTTAATAGTGTGTGGGTAGCAGATGAAGGCAAGCACTATTGGTAAGCAAAGCAAATTGGACTGCTTCAAGCTGCAAAATACTAATAAAAGATGAATGAGATGTCCAATTCTTTAATTAATGCCAGCCTTCTACCTCAGATATCAATGTATCTTAGTTTTAAAAGATCCCCAAATACCCACAACTTGATATGGAGGTACAGAGTAACAGGGCACTGCAATCTCATTGTATTTCAAGTCCTGATCCAGAAGCAAATGCAGCAATACTTTTTGTTGCTGTTTATTCGTTCAGTCACTTCTGACTCTTCCTGATCTCATGGACCAGCCGACACCAGAGCTCCCTGTCAGCCATCACCACCTGCAGCTCCGTCAAGGTCAAGCCAGTCACTTCAAGGATAATATCCATTCATCTTGCCCTTAGTTGGCCCCTCTTCCTTTTTCCTTCCACTTTTCTAATCATCATTATCTTCTCCAAGCTTTCCTGTCTTCTCATTTTGTGACCAAAGTACTTCATCTTTGCCTCTAATATCCTTCCCTCCAGAGATCAGCTGGGCTTTATTTCCTGGAATATGGACTGGTTTGATCTTCTTGCGGTCCAAGGCACTTTCAGAATTTTCCTCCAACACCACAGTTCATCTTCCTTCACTCTTGCATCCATACATTACAATAGGGAATACAATTGCTTTAACTATAGAATAAAATAAATACTACGAGAGTTTGCTCAAAGTTGATGGAAAACTAAGATTACCATATATTTTAAAACATGAGAGTGTAAGGGAACAACTAGATCCTGGAAATGTTATTCGGAGCTGCAGCCCAAATTAGTATCTTTTGGATGGGAACACTTATATCTTTAAGGGAAATTAAATAAACAATTGAGTAACAAGCTGTCATTAATTTTCCATTTATTTGTAACTGTATCAAATGTTTCACTTCCTTGGGACGGAGTGTGTAGTGTATGTTATAAGCGGTATATTTAAAAGCATACCATGACATGAAATATATACTAAATATTCCATCCATGAAGAAGTCATCCTAATACCATGATTTTGACAAGCCCTCACAATAAAGTCCAATCAAATTCAGTACACCACGAGATGTAAATGCACATTTTACTTATTTTGTTTATATCCTGTTTTTTTTCTCCAAGGAGCTGAAAGTGTTATACATGAGACGCCTTCTGCCTGCTTTATCTTCACAACAACCCTGTGAGGTAGGCTATGCTAAGCATATCATTAGCCTCAAATCAATCAAATGAGTTTCATAGTTGAGATAGGAGTTGAACCCAAATCTCCCCGGTCCCAGTCTTACATACACTTTTCATTACATCACACAAAACAGTTGTCCTTTATCCATTTCCAGTGAAAATGTTCTGCACCTGACTTCAGAAAGCCATAAAAATCACAAAGGTCTCCTACAAAGGCAGAAAGACACACAATCCCACATCCATCTGTGCCAAACTCTTTCACTCTGTTCTTTCCGTTGGTCCTGAGCAGCTGATTGTTTTCTCTGCTCTTCTCCATTTCTCATTGATATCGGTGTATGCACTGGGATTAACTTTCCCCTTAGGTATCCGGTATTTGTTCTTCTGATTGTAAAGCAGGTTTTTCTGGAAGACTCGTGGGATGTTCCCCTGATACATGAAGAATGCTATCAGCATCCCTGGAAGAAAGTCAATAATGGAAAGGGATGATTACTTTGTTTTTCTGTGTTTTATTCCAGTCCAGTATACTTTTTTCTTGACATGGGAGTAGGTTGGGTAGGGTGTAAAGATTTTCACTATCTCATAGTCAATGAATGCATCTTCTGTCTACTGGCTTGCCCATAACCCTACTTCAAAACCGCATCCAGTCATTACAAGAGTTAAGTAATCGGATTGTATAATTAGCAGGTTTGCACATTTCTGTCAAACAACTCCAAGATCTCCATACATGAGCTCTTTCAATCAAAGTTGGCTCCGATTAATCTTTGGGCCATGAAACCTAATTCTTAATGGCAAAAGTTTTTGTACTGACATTTCATTCCTGGTAATACACAAATCTTATCTGTTCACAAAGTTTCTCAAGCAATTGAGATAAGCAACACAAACTTTCATGGACTATGCAGAGACCTCAGAGGCTAGTATTATTAAGACAGAAGGGAAAGACCCTGTATCTTCACACTATGCAATGCTTCCATAACACGAAATCCTGGAATTTGCAGTTTAGGGAAGGTATTTAGAATTCTCAGTTTGGGAACCCTTGTGTCTCACCAAATTACAAATGCCTTGGGGTTTAGCTATGGCAAATAATAATAATAATAATAATAATAATAATAATAATAATAACAACAAACCTTTATTTATACCCCGCTACCATCTCCCGCAGGACTTGGTGCGGCTTACAAGAGGCCGAGCCCAAAATACATCAGAACAAAAAACACAACCACAATAATACAATACAACAATAAATAACTCATAGCAAAGCAAAAACAATAACAAAATATCACGACGCAATTTAAAAATCTGGCAGGGCCAAATGTAAAGATTAATTTTTTTAAAAAATGCTGGGCATGGCCAGGTGAAAAAGGATGGATATTTTGGGGGGTAAGTGGGTGTGCAGACAATTCTCGTAAAGTGCATTTGGGACATATTGCTTGGGATTCCTTAATCTGGGAAGGCACACTGGAACATCCATGTTTTCAAGTTCCTTCTGAAGACTGCCAATGTTGTGGCATGCCTGGTGTCCTTGGGGAGGGAGTTCCAGAGTTGCGAGGCCACCTCCGAGAAGGCCCTGTCCCTCGTTCCCACCAATCGCGCTTGCGATGCAGGTGGGATCGTGAGCAGGGCCTCTCCAGATGAACGAAGAGATCATGTGGGTTCGTATATGGAAATGCGGTTAAGCACGTAGGTGGGTCCCAAACCATTTAGAGCTTTGTAGGTAAGCACCTGCACCTTGAATTGGGCCCGGAAAATGAATGGGAGTCAATGGAGCTCCTTAAACAGGAGGCTTGACCTCTCCCTGTAAGAAGCATCCGTTAACAACCTGGCTGCCGCCCGTTGAACAAACTGAAATTTCCAGGCCGTTTTCAAGGGCAGCCCCACATAGAGTGCATTACAGTAGTCCAATCTGGAGGTGACTAAGGCATGGACCACCCTGGCCAGATCCGCCTTCACGAGGTACGGTCGCAGTTGGTGCACGAGTCTCAATTGTGCAAAGGCCCTCCCGGCCACCGCCAATGCCTGAACTTCAAGCAAAAGTGATAAGTCCAGGAGGACACCCAAACTGCAGACCTGTGACTTCAGGGGGAGTGTAACCCCGTCCAGCACAGGATGCCACCCTATATCTCAATCTGGTTTACGATCGACCAGGAGGACCTCTTTCTTGTCAGGATTAATCTTCAGCTTGTTCCTCCTCATCCAGCCCGCCATAGCGGCCAGGCACTCATCCAGCACCCGAGAGGCTTCCTTGGAGTTCGGTGGAAAAGAGTAGTAGAGTTGCGTGTCATCTGCGTAGAGATGGCACCCAACTCCAAACTCCGGATGACCTCTCCCAGCGGTTTCATGTAGATGTTAAAAAGCATGGGAGACAGAATGGAACCTTGCGGAATTAAAGTGGAATCACGCTACCGTGCCCCCAGTGGCGCAATGGGTTAAACCCTTGTGCCGGCAGGACTGAAGACCGACAGGTCAGAGGTTAAAATCCGGGGAGAGTGTGGATGAGCTCCCTCTATCAGCTCCAGCTCCCCATGCGGGGACATGAAAGAAGCCTCTCACAAGGATGGTAAAGCACTCAGGTATCCTCTGGGTAACGTACTTGCAGACGGACAATTCTTTCACACCAAAAGCATATTGCAGTTTCACAAATCACTCCCGACACAAAACAAAACAAAAACAAAACATTACCATAAATATATCGGATAAAAAACTCCATAATTGTCAATAACTGGTAAGGATTGTTGGCCTCAGTTAGTCTAATGTTATTAACCAAGTCTACATCACAACTGTAGTGTGTCTATTGGAAGCTTGAAGTTGAAATATTTTTATTTTCAGAAAGAACTCAAGAGATTTTGGAGATCATAATTAAGTTGCTAGATTGAGGTGGATTTTAATTCATCTTAATGCAATAATTTCAAACTTCTCATAGGTGGGTTCCATTGTTTATTACCGTTCATATATCTTTAGGTATCACATGCATAAATGTTTACCAGAAATCTCCCATCCTTTTACCAAAGGAAACATAGTTCTAATCGTGATGCTGACAAGATTCATATATTTTAGGTAATAACTTTGTGATTTCCATTTCATCAAAACATGACTGGCACTTATTTATTTATTTATTATTTGTTTATTTACTGTATTTGTATACTGCCTTTCTCAGCTCACAGGCAACTCAAGACTCAAAATGTCTCCAAAACCAACTAAGATAGTTTGTGATGCATAACTTGTGTTGTTACTACAATTGTATTCTTATGTTTCTCTGGGAACTTGCGCAATACTATTTACTGGGCTTGTATTTTTTTCCCCCAGGATTCTTAGGAGATCTATTCAAAAGATAGGTTCTCTAACTTTCTAGAAATTTTGCTGTTCCTTTTTCTCCTCTGCATCCCACAAATAACTGGAACAGCTTTTTCCTTTATTTTCTTTTTAGGAACTTAAGAGGAAAATTATGGTGGCATCACCAGAACAACACATATTCAGTATGGACATTGCATGTCCACAATTGACCAGAGGGTCGCTATCCAGGTGTCTCAGCAATTGCCAGGCTCTTCAGCTACTCTTGGACATATCAAGATTCTCAAGCAGCTCTATCCAGTGGTCTTTCTTAGCATTAGCTAAGGCTGTAGATAATTTATGACCTGCTGCTATAGTCTCATCACCATATGGATGAGACTATACAGGACTGTACGGGAAGTTGCTGCTAACTGTGAGAGAAATAAGGTGAAACACTGTAAAAGCCATCCACTGCATGGCTATCAGCCTCCTCCCAGTAGACTCTAATCAAAGAAAAGCTTCATGAAAACCATCACTCCTCTTAATGTTCGCTCAGCAACAGCAAACTAAACTTGGAGATCTGTAACGACTGGACCCCCACTAGGGTCTTCCTCCAGGGGCAAACCACGAATGGGCTCCTTAGAAGTCCCTGAACAGACTCAGAAATGGAGTGGGCAGATCAAAAGACAACCTGGCAAAATGGCACCCCCTAGAAGAACCCTCCACCTTATGCGACAGAACAAACAACTCTGCATCTGTATGCTTGCTCACAATGCCCTGCCTCATGCACAGAGGAAGAACTACTTAAAACTACAGACAATGCAGCTGCTGTTGTCCATTTTTGGTCTAGAATTATTTAGCCACTTGGGCTCCCTCTATTTTATCAGTTTTATACTTATTTATGCAATGCTTTTGACACAAAATAAAATAAGCATGGGCATACCCTGTTCTGGTTGTTGTTTTTTATTCAAAGTTCCAATGCAGTAATTTATTTTTAAATGCAACTCCATGGGTTAATTGGATTAACATTACATTCACCACAGTAAACCTTGACATTGTACAGGCATTAGTGTGTAGTCTAGTAAGGTCACAGCTGCCACTAAGCTTTTTTATGCCACTCATCCACTCACCTGTGATGGGTGCCAGCCAATAAACTTGCATGTATTCCATGAAGCTGTTCCCAGAGCAGGAAAAGGTCACTGCAAAAGCTAATGCAGGATTGAAAAATGCCTCGGTGAAAGGTGCAGCTGGAGGGGGGGAAATAAACAGATTATGTCACCTCCTTTCTTTCCAAAATGGCTACAATCTAAAATGTCAATTTCTTATAGCACTAAATGCAATGTTTACATTAAAATTTCATAGAAAGCTGTGGCCGTTTTGCCAGAGGCATGAATTCTAAATTTCAATTCTGCTAGGTAGCTCTTTGCAAAAGGTAGTACCTGTATGCAGTCAGCAGGCAAAACGTCTGCGTCTACTAATTGGCAAGGTTATTTCAGTCTCCTGTTTGGGGCAGGTCTGGTCACCAGGGGTGATACATTAGGAGCAGGTCATTACAGTAATGTACGCACACTTAAGAGTAGCAGTATATAGAATAATTTCTTATTTATTAGGACCAGCATAATTGTAGATGCTACAGTTTAACAAAAAGGTTTCTTTCCAGAGAAATCAAAACTTTTCACTTTTAATCAAAATTACCAACAATCTAATAGACTAAATGGCAGCAAAAATGTGTTGCTATTTAAACTACTAGTGTGTGAAGCAGGAACCCAAATGAAAAGAAGCATCCAAGCTTTAGTTGATCATATATGTTATTCTAGTATGTTTTTAAGATTGTTGTAAATACAAGTAAAATCTGAAAGCTTCTTTATCATTTCTTCCACTTTTCAGAACAAGGCCTGCCCTCACCTCTGGTTTGCTAGCAGATCACATTGTCCCTCTTGCCCTGAAAAAAAGTCCCAGAGCTGTGTTTCCCCGCAATCTCTTACGCTCAGGACAATGGAAGTATTCAGGCTTACCAAAATAACCTAAACTGGAATAGCAGAAGCATCACTGAAAGTCAACAGCATAGTGGCTACTGGGGCTGAAGACAATATCAGAGCAAAGAATTTAGCCACAAGAAGTCATTGGAGCATGGATGCAAAGGAAATACTTAGTGGAGAAAAACCAAACTTTTGAGGAAGTGGAAAGCAGGTTATTATATGAATAAAATCTTAACAAAATGTTCAAAGCACCTAAGTGATATGCCATATTTTAGTTACAGTATATGACATCAGTACAAAGAAGTTCATCGTATATTAAACATTTTGTATAAAATAGATAGATAGATAGATAGATAGATAGATAGATAGATAGATAGATAGATGATAGATAGACTGGGATGGAGAAACAGGGGTATGCAGAATACCAGGAAAAGGTACTTACCTGCATAGGTCAAGGCTGTAACAGTAAGTGCCACGATGGGGATTCTGTACATGGAAGAGCTCTTCTGGAACCTGAGAATCACTAGATGGAAAAAAAATGAGCACATGGCTTCCACAAAGATGCCATGGGAGGCAGAGGTGCCTAGAGATGAACTGCAACTCCGAGCTATTAAATTCTGAATCATGTGGAATTCTGTAAGTTCCTTTGACCAATATTGTTTGGTAAAAATACTGGCTGCTTCCATGCCCAAAAACTGGGCCAAGACTTTGGTGACAGTAGCGCCAAAAGAAGAATCCAAAGCCAGATATTCTTGAACTGAGACAGAAGGGTTGGCAGAAGCTCCGTCAAAAGAGGCACCATGAACCAAGAAGAGAAGAAAAAGGAGTGTTAGGTTGACATCAGGACCAAAGCCACCACCCCACGGCCCGATCTCCCTCAGCATTTTTAACTCCAGGCAGCAAGCGCACATCTGGAAGGAGCTCAGGATTTCGGCCACAAGGCAAGTGTACATCCAAGGTGGGAAGATTCTCTTGGAGAGTTTCCTGAGCGCCTCACAAAGGCCTAAAGTAAAGAAGAAAAAGGCAATTGAGACGTTCAGACCTGCCATGCTGGAAACCACTTCAGAGATATGGGGAGAGCTGTAACAGAAGAACTTCAACACTTTAAAGAGGGTGGTGGAAGGGGGAGGATTAGCCACCTGCTATTCTCCCACGTAAAGGCACCCGTAAGTAAACAAGACACAGGCTGAGAGGCACCTACTTAATAGAGTCATGGAAATCCCTCTGAAAACCAAAACATTTGACACCCTGAAGCAACTGGCTTGGACAGACTGCCACTTCCTTATCACCTTCGTATCACCTCTAACCAGAATGTCATCTTTGCTTTCTTTTTAATAAACATTACCACCAGTCCGAGTCAAAAAATCTTTCAGAAGGACAACAGAAAGGGGGTTATGTTAGTACTTGTCTTTTGTTGTTATCGTCTGTCATTTGGATAGAATACCATTTTGGTATAATCAGTCTTGCAATACTATCAATGGTGTAAGCATTTATAATTGTTGTTAAGCAGGGAGATAGATCTATAGCAGTGGTTCCCAACCTTTTTTGTGACCAGGGACCATTTGACCAGGGACTACTCTGACCAGGAACCACTTGACCAAGGACTAATTGATCAGGAACCACTCTTCAACATTAGTACCAAAACGGTTAAGAAACATTTTTTTCAACTTTAGATTTGGTTTTGGGTACTGATTGAGAAAATTGCATTGGATAGACCACATCAGCTCTAGTTTCTGACACAGAACATATGCCATGGTCAGTGACAGGGAAGTAGTAGCAGGTGGCATGAAAGGAGTGGAATTAAATTAAATTAAAAAATAAAGAGGAAGGAGGCTCGCAGATCAGATTTTCATCCTCACAGCCCACTGGTGGTCCACAGCCCACAGGTTAAGAACCACTGGTGTATAGTAACTAACTTCCATTGGATTTTGCCCACCTTTAGAACTCAATATATTCATTCCTATGTTCCTTTTCCCCTTTCTATAATATTGAGTCTTATTGAGAATTAAGTCTTTGTAGCAAAATAACACAATTTTTCTTCAGAGTATTTGGAGTAATTACGGATTGTCCATCTGATCCAGGAAACCAGTTTTATGTTTATGTATATATGGGTTTTGTGTTTATAGAACTATTTTGTTGTTTGACTATTTGATGTGTTATGTCATATAACTGTCAAATGTGATATGCTTTTATTTTTGAGTAAGATTTTTATTTTTCTCTTTAGGTAGAAAATTAAGAAATTGTAGCCTGAAAATACTTTAGAATTCAGTAATGCAATATTTTTATCAGGTAACTGACCTAGGAGCACAGCAATTGAAATGCTTGCCTTTACTTAGAAAGTTAATTTTTTACAGATGAGTGTTTTGTGATTCTCTGGCTCACTAACCTTCATTACAGACTGGTTCATTCAAGACATGTTGGTTCCCTGAACTGCATTCTTTAAACCGTTGCCAGTTCTGGGAGTGGTAACACTTCATTCCCCTCTCATTGTCACTGTCTCCTAATACTAAAACAATGAAGAAGATAAGTTCTGGAGAACAGGGAAAGAAACAATATTATGCTGCCCAAAATAGGTTAGGTACGAGACCCAGTGGTAAATAAAAAATCAATGTGATGTAATTGTTTGAACATCACATTGGGACCAGGTTCAAATTCATCTTTAGTTGGGAAGCCACTCTTCTTGGCCAGTCACTGTCTCTCTGACCCACTTCAATAAAAGAATTACTGTGAGTGTAACTACAGAATCACAGTTGGAAGATACTACATGGACCCTCCAGTCCAACCCCCCTTCCATGCCGGAAAAGCACTATCAAAGCATCCACAACAGATGGCCATTCAGCCTCTGTTTAAAAGCCTCCAAGGAGTTTCTACCACACTCCAAGGCAGATATTTCCACTGTTGAACAGCACTTGTGGTCAGGAAGTTTTCCCTCATGCTCAGGTGGAATCTTCTTTCCTGTAATTTGAACTCATTGCTCTGAGTCCTGGTCTCCAGGGCAGAATTAAGCTAATTAAACTCTATGGTATAATGAAACCATCAACATGATTCAGTTCAGCAGAATTCCTTTGAAGTACCTGAAAAAGACTAGTTTCTAGTAAAGATTTCATTTGTTTCTTAATGAAATTCTTAATTGGATGCCAAAGGAAGGAGAAATGTGTACTCTTTGCCCTATCATGCTTCCCAGAGACAACCCTCAAGGTGGCAAATTTGGAAGGTGCAGGATGAACACTGAGTCCTATGTACAAACGTCCTCTTTTAAAAATGTTCAAATAGGTAGAGCATTTCCTCTCTCTTTCAGCAATGGCTGAACTAGAACTGTAAGCAGGAACAAACTGTAGGGAGAAACGCTCATAAGGTTTGAATAGATGAAAAGCAAGATCAGATCACAATCTTGCAAGGGTACTTTAGTCAGCAGGTTGGGTCAACCCCATTGCCCAAAAAAATCCTGTGCACCCACAAAAACCATTCCAGTGGAGTGGAACAACCTCTAGTCCAGTGTTTCTCAATCTGTGCTCCTCCAGGTGTTTTTGACTTCAGCTTCCATAAATCCCAGCCAATATACCACCTGTTAAGAATTGTGGGAATTGAAGTCCAAAACATCTGAAGGAGCAGTTTGAAAAATACTTCAGGTCTAGTTCATATTGGTTGATGTGGAAGGCTGCAGTGAGCAGGAGAGGCCAAGGAAAATCTGATGCACTCAAGATTAGTTGCCAAAGTGATGCTGGATTTACCCCATTGACTCCCCAAGTAAGTGGTGCTTGCAAAAGCAGAAATGAAGGAAGCATAGATGTTTCTTGTTACAGAGGATTGAAGCTCCATTTGATTTTGTTGTGACAACTGTTTTTCCTTGTGTGCTGATCCCCTGCTAGTTATGTTTTGATTAGCATCTGACCATACATGGACATACACAGATTCATGTATTGCATGAAATAGCACCTAGGTTAAGTTCCAAGTCTTCTCTGAGTACCACTGTTGATGCAATAAAGAATATCCATAATATTAGCTATGAAAAAACTTTCCGCGGAATCATAATCTACTACAATCATAATTTGGCTCTATAAGGAAGAATAAGCATGTAGTGACCAGATTAAAGAATTGGTTATCAGTTAGCTATCATTAATTTAATGTAACTTTCCATAGTTGCCTTTAATTTGTGTTAATTATAGAGTTGAGGCTTCATTAAAGGGTGGAAGAGGAACATCACATGATTCGAATGCCAGGCCCACACAGCCCAGCAACCTGCAACATTCAGAAAGTATCCAAAAGGGAACATATTGTAATGACTTTAGATAAATCAGAAAACAAAGTTATTTTTATTGGACTGGAACTATAATGGTAACTATCTTGAAAGAAACATTCAAGCTGGAATATCAACTACTGTAGCTCTGACAACACTTGGTGTCATTTATGTATGTGACAATGGAATATACCCTCTTCAAGAGGCACCTAAACTTCAGACCCATTTACAAATGAAAATATAACAGGATGGTTCAAAAGAGGGGGCGAATATAGAATTAAAGGAAAAGTATGTCATTTGTAAGCATTGCTGAAATTTGTAAGCAACTTTAGAAGCTGTATTGAACGTGGTGGCAGGCATGCTACTAATTATTTGCTGAATAGAAATTTATAACAGCTATAGCAAAGGTTCAGTAGCATGGGTGTATCATGTGTGTTGGGGAGGCTATGAAGACAAACGATAAGCTGTAAGTCTGCTCCAGGTGCAATATCATACCACATGCCTCTCATCAGTCTCTCATCAGGTCCTCTTATTAACTCAAGAAGACTAGAACTGCAAAAATGACAACCAGAAAGTATTTTAGAAATGTTTATTTCTAGCCCTGAAAGAACAAAGTTATTAAACATAGTCAAATACAGTAGTTAATATTGCAGTAACAATTAAATAACAGAATGGGATTAAATTAAACAAAAGGCAACAAAATCTGAAGACAGTAAAAACAAAAATCAAAGTTTACACTACTTCTATTTTCATCTGACAAAGTGAAAGAATGGGAGCAGTGAAGAAAATTGTTTGAAAGTATGTTTGATTTCAGCTATGAAGACAAAAAAATTCTTTCAAATCTTGGTAGCGGAGTAAATTAACTCCCAATTGTTCCACAGTACAAGTCCGGTGACCACTTAGATTTTAAGATACATGCTGACGTGACGACTGTCTCAATTCAAGCCAACAAATGCTCTTTTTTTCTTTTTAAAAAGCCAGATTCATTTGGATTTCTGGGATCTGAGGGAACCCTGGGAGTGCCTAATTCCAAGTAAGCCTGCTTTCATGGAATGAGACACCCTTTCCCTTCTGCAGTTCTCAGTATGCCATTGCAATCATGTCCATGATTCAAAAGCTGAGTCCCATAAATACCTTTTGGCCATGTGCACTTTTAACTCATAGTGACTTTGTATTAGACCTGACTGAATGAAGTAACTATGATAATATTGCCTTGTGCTCTCCCCTGCAGGTACTGCTCTTTCTAGCAATTTCTATAGAACTGTCTTCTCTATTTTTCTACAAGTGGGATCTTGTCCAATTTTGGAGAATTCAAGTTAATTAATGCAAGGCTATCTCAACAATCAGACCACATTGATAAAAAGGTCACTATGAATTTAAAGTACTCATATGAATTTGTCAATCTATACTGATATTAGCACCCAGAAAATATTTGTTTAAGATGTATTTATAGCCAGAAATAAATTCAGAGTAGAAATCCTTTCAACACACTGCTCAATATTCTCACCTTTTGCCAGGGTATGTTCACCTCATTTAGAAGTCCTCACTGGACCTCAAAGATGAAGAAGGCTGCCATGTTTTCACTTCCAAATCAAGCTTTTAAGACAGTTGCAGTATATGTTCAATCCATGTACTATAGAAACTGCATGCATAATTACACAGTGAACCTTCTGTTCAGTGATAGGTTCCCATTTCAGCTCCCTCCTGTTTTCTTATTCTTCAACCATATCCCCCAACAAGGACAAGGAAATCAGGCATCTGCACTGCTATAACCTGAAGCTGCAAGTTATAGCTAAGAGTGTCCACTCAGACACACTGTAGCAAAATTCAATACATAAAGGCATAAGAAAGACCACAGGACATGCTCCAACTGCTGCTGAACTAATCCAAATTGTAAGCAATGTAAGCAAAGATTTGGGAACCTTTACAAAAGCCAGTTCCTCCTAACAAATAAGAAGTTAAAAGAAAGTTTTTTGGTTTAGAAATATAACTTTCTGAGTAACTTGCTAGCACTAAAAAAAATGCACCTAGGACTCATAGGAGTCATGGGTTCCACATATTCCATTGCCAGCAACAGACAAAGACCCAATAGTTAAAGTATGAAAATTAGCTGTATGGTTTCTTGAAATCTCTTGGTTTGAATCACATATCAATTTAAGGGCAACACTATTAGAACTTTTAAAGTAATAGCACTGCGAGCCATAGTGATGAAAAGAACTGCACCTAAAATAGCACTTAGAGCAAGACATCATCACATTGCCTCAGAACAAAGCAACACACATTCAAAATGCTTGAAAGTAAACAGGAAGGTTACATGGCTGCAGACTGGAGTGTGGTGCTATTTTCAGCTGCATTAATAAGGCATTTGTTGGTATATAACAGGGCGCAAGGGTCTGCAAGGTCTGAAGGACTGAACCCTTTGTGATGCATGGCTCACTACTACTCAAAGACCTTGGATAATACACATTTTGCAACCTGTTCATGAAATCCCAGCAGAAATGATGTTTTTATGCCAACAAACAGCAATATTGTTCATAGATAGAAAAAATGGCTTTCTACTTTTCGTCCAAAACGCTTTGAGAGGTTGCTTCTTATTTAGGGCTTTAAGATGTTCTGTCAAACATAGTGAGCAGAAATGAGAGAAAGCTACAGTATCAAATTAAAGAGTCCCTTATGTTTCTATTTGGCACATTATCATTCAGGAAGTTTCCATCAAGATAAGCTGCACATAAACCACAGTGATTTTAGAAGGCCGATGTGAGTGACAAGGAAATTCCAATGGTATCTCTGGCCAACTCAACCAAAATGTCAGTCCATCTGTAGTCCCAATTACTTTCTTTCATTTAGGGAGGCACTTGTTCTTGTGTTCATCTTCGCCCACAGTAGTTGATTAAGTCTTTCAAGAGAAAGGATGACCATGGAAAATGCGTTCCTCCAGCCATTCACAAGCCAATTCAAGTGTTGAATCTAAGCTACTCTACTGCCTCCCATTTTTGTTTTCACAGAATAGCACTTTTGGTGTTCAGAAGCTTCAATTGGCTGAATTATACAAAAAGTCTTGAATCTTCTATTTTTTTGCAAATCTGAAGGGTCTTTGTTAGTAGAAATGGTGCATATATATTTTAATATATTTATATATAGAAAGGAAGAGAGCCCTAATACTTAGTTCTGACTTCTCCAAAGTTGCTTTTGGAGAGAAAATGTACAACATATACAAAATGTATTTAATACAAAGAAAGGTAATTTAAAAATTCAGAAGGCACCAGCATAAAGCCCAAAGCCCAAGTAAGAACATGGATACGGCACTCTGCTATAAAACAACACACTTTCAAGACATCCCTTTAAAATATTATCGACAAACCTACATAGACAAGGGAGGAGTGGAAGACAATTCACAGGAATGGAGTTTTTTCCCCATGCCCAGAGGATGGTTTGAGCATTTGAGACTTTTCTCCTTTTCCCCACATGTATTCACTCTCAACAACTCAAGACACATCTTTCTTTTGCGTTAAGAAGTCCATGCAACAAAATTCTACATCAAACATGGCTGAGACTCTTAATTCCCTCTCTACCCACGTTCTTCTGTCTTTAAGAACAGTCACTGAAAAATTAGGTTACTAGGTAGTCAGGGGGTTAACATTTTAACAGTTATAGCTAAATTGAACCTTAAGAGAAAGGAAATAGGAACTTTCACATTTCTACCATATCTGCTTTTAATAACTCAGAGCTTGCCATATTCTGAATGAATGACTAGGGAAAAGAAAGAGGGGAAGGTCAGCAAATCAATGTAACATGCCTTCCCCTATAAGCTTGAATCTGTAGTTCAAGTATTGAAAGTGCCATGAAGAGCACAACGAGTGGGATCTGGTACAGCAAAGTCATCAAAAACAACTCACAGGGAGAGCAAAATGTATTACTGAGCTGTCTGCAGAAGTGGTGAAAAGGCCAGTGATTTGGTTCACAACTTCTTCCAGACTCCAAGAAGAGTTCACTAACACCACTGGGTTTTTTTCTTTGCTTGTGTCTTCAAGGTGAGATTTTTTTCCCCTTTCTGCAAGCATCCAATCCCCTAACAAGAGCAACAATTTATATATTACGAAGATTTTTTTAAAAAAAAATAAAGAACAAAAATAAGGATGGCCACATCTGCAATGCTAACGGTTACTCTTCATTGCTTCTTTGGCTGCTAGGATCAACGGCGTCAAGCTTGACAAAGGTTTGGCCAGTTTCAGGAAAGGATGCTAACAAGAAGAGAAACAGACAGTCTTTTAATGAAAGAACACCTCAACGTAAATAACAATAGCTTCATTTCAAGACTACTACTTTGCAAGCAATAAAAAACTTATATATGTATAATATATCACACTACAATCCTTTATTACATATGATGCAGATGCTCAGCATTTGAGTCAGGTTAAAATTTAATACATAGTTTGAGGTGGAAGTACAGCAACAGTGTCCTTAGAGGCCCTTCTCTGAGAGAAACCAATGATGAGATTGCATCACATATATGTTTTATAATTCAATATGTATTACACTTTATGTCTAACTTCCTGTGAGTGAAAATCAGAATTGGAAACAATTATATTGGCCAACATTTTGGTGCCTCAAATGTTAGACCTGTTTCTGGGTATATGTGACCTGTTGAGTCAAAATATGACACTAGTTTCTTCTATCAGCTCTAGTTTTTGAGATACAGAATACTTGCCATCTTCATCTGCTCGCCCACAGAAAACCATGATAACCATATCTAAGAAACTAGAGAGAAGGAAATCTATCGAATCTATCTTATGTATGCAAATGTGGCCTCAAAGTGTGCCTTTTTTGTAACCTGAGTCTCCTTCAGGGTTGAGAAGGATGGGATATAAATGCAGTAAATAAATAAATAAATGCAATTTGCTGAATCAGTGATCCAAATAATCCCGGGAATAGGCCTAAACACGAAGACATCAACATTTTTTTGGTTGGGTTGTGTTATTTGAAGTACACTTTGAATTCTAGATTGTAAAAATCCTTGTTTGCTTAGGTTAGATGCAAGAACAAACTATGTCAGATAAGACTTGGCTGTTTGGTTGTGCATTTAAGTAAAGTGATCAGATCTAATTTGTCAACTAGTCACTGTTGTATGTTTTTATGTTGAATGTTTTTTTATATTGTGTAAATGGTATTTTAAATTGTAAGTCGCTTGGAGCACCTTGGTGGAGAGCAGCTAATTAAGAAATAAAGTGAAGTGAAGTGAAGTAATCAGAGTATGCAAGAAGGGGAGATGCGTGGAACTTCAGGAATTATTACAAATGAGATGGATTGCACTAGCAGTAAAAGGGAAGGCTGAGCACCTGATCTAGCCAAAGTAATGGCACTGGGAATTTGCCTACCAGGCATCTCTCCATATGTAAAACTCATTCTCTTTGCTTTCGCATTTCCCATTCTATTTTATGTTCTTATTCTGTGCTGACTATATCAATCCTCCTGTACATAAATTGACCTTCTAGTAGAAAGTATACATGCCATTTGTCAAGGTATTAGTTTGTTTACCTGTAACAGGTCTTTGCCTGACCCTCTTTTCTCAACATCCATTTCCAAACAGCTATTTAGAAAGTCACGGAATATTGGGGAGAGTTTTTCAGGATTTTGTAATTCTGGGGTGCCATTAGTTGCTATCAAATACAGTGCCTGCAATGAAAACAAACAAACCTCAATTACAAAATCTAAAAAGATGGTTTGCATTCAACTACACAGGTACACATCAGTTAACAAACTAGAAGTGCTCCTGGGTATTACTACTTTAATAGAAAATGCCTGTACTACCAATCTACAGTTAAGCAGAAAGCAGTATTGAGCAGTGCTTTCCAGGTAAGAACATTTAGGCATATTCTAGCAATTCTGTTAATTCATATCAAGTAACAAGTCAACTGGTGTGCCTAGCTGTGCACATCAACTGATCTTTTGTAAGATGAATGAATAATTAAATCTACTGACTTAATAAAAGATTTGTTCCTAGCAGAGATGAAAACCACTGAACATATTTATTGATATGGATTGGCACAGACACCTGCATTTTTGGTCTCTCCTTGGAAGTGTGGCAATAGGGACTCGCAAAATTTACCACTGCACCACTCAAAAGAATAAGCGTTGTGCTACAGCCCCAGTAGTTAATAAATTCCTTTTATATTACAGTAGACGGCCTTTCCTAATCAGACTTGAAACTCTGTATGTTTTTCTTTGCAAAGTCACAATCCAAAAATCTTATATACACAAACAGAAAACAGCTGCAGAAACGAAACTGGGGATGTTTGTAAACATTTCTTCTAAACACCTTTATAGGAATTTAAGTGAAAAACAGCTTGCTTCTTAAGCACCATTTAAGAAGAGGAAATGGAGATGTCTAGAAACCTCCAGTTGTATAGATGCCATTCTTTATTTCAGGGGTTGGCAATTTTGGAAGGTCATTAGCTGCCAACGGGATCTCAGGAGGGTCACACACCACCAATAAAAGCCCCCCACAAAAGAAATGTCCCCTGATAGTGTGAGGACGTGTTTTCCATATCTTTAGTCCCCCAACGCCACCCACCCAAGGCCAGTAGAAACCTTTTAAACAGTAGGAAGTGAACAGAAGTTTGCTGTTCACTTCCCATAAAAACAACACTTACGTTGGACCAAAGGAGGCCAAAACCATGATGAAAATGTGCCCATGTGCCCTGGAAGGCCTTTCAGAGAAACAGTTTTATTTTTAAAAACCTGTCATCTGAGAGGCTGAAATGATAGTTTGCGATATAGATATATCTTCAAAAAGAAATCAGAAAACCAGACCTGAAGAACTGTGATTTTATAAGATAGTCAACTCCCTTAGGGTCAACTGGGACAAACTCCAATAAAGTACATAATATATCAAGTATGTGCAAACTGCAATCTTGCATCTCATCCAATGCAATCCTCATAAAACCTCTGCGAACAATCATGCTGCAACAATCTGCCCACTGAATAGGGTGGGAGAAAGGTGTGGTGGTGTGCTGGTAATCATAATAATTTGAGAATTCTCCTATCCACTACTGCCAGACAAATGACCACCAAGATAATGTGGATTTTTGATTTTAAAAGGCTCCACAATTGTTCTAGATTAGACATTAGTAGATATTTTTCTGGGAGTATCATGAGAAAGCATCATGAAGTAGATTTGGATGTGCAGTGAAATGGCTTTCCGCCTCACATGATGCTAAAGCTGCTGCTGATTGCTGTAACAAAGAAATATTTCCACTTCCAAAATATTATATAAGTCTTGCTGCTATTAGTTCACATCTAGGCCCATCAACAATGCCTTACCCTCAAGGGGTTTTCATTGAGATATGGGGGCTCGCCTTCAACCATTTCAATAGCCATGATGCCCAGAGACCAGATATCCACTTTAGGGCCATACGCCTTCCGTGTGACCACTTCTGGAGCCATCCAGTAAGGTGTCCCAACCATAGTGCTACGTTTGCTCTGCTCTGGAGTAATCTGAGCACAGAAACCAAAGTCGGCTGCAGAAGGAGAGAGGGAGAAAGTGTCAAATAAAAGTGCCTGGTTTCACTCTTACTATTGGAATCATTTGACATTATTGCCCTAGTTATAGTTCCAGAAAGATATGTCAAGCATTTTACAATGCACATTATGTTCACTCAATACTCAATAAAGCTACAGATAATGCAGTCGCTGGTGCCTGTTTTTGGTCTAAAACTATTTAGCTGTTCATGATCCCTTTATTTTATCAGTTTTAAACATATTTATTTATGCAATGTTTTTGACACAAAATAAATAAATAACTCAGTACTTCACAGGGCTGTGGCAAATATTGTTCGCTTTTTCATTTTCTTGTTACTGTGTTTTTAATTATCCTAAAAGTACACCTTAAAATCCACACTGAATCCTATTGTAAACTGAAGGGGATGATGTGTGTACAAAGACTGAGGTGAAATGAACAGTTTCACAGTTAATCAAAGCTGCCACCTGCTGGTTTAAAAATGAGCATAAACTCAATACAGAAACAGAGCCGACTGTATAAGTGAGTTGATAACTAGAAGGGCTTATTTTAGCATTAAAGCCAATGAATGCCTTGTCATACAGGCTTCCAAGTTTGTCATTTATACTGCAAATATACGCAAGTATATACTACTGAGATAAGATATTCGTCTTATCCCCTAAAACACATGTTCCAAATTTTGTAGATAAGAGCAGCTAATCCTTAAAATCTATTGAACGATGGATCTTCCACTGAAATCCAGTGGATTTGAGGTAAACATTATCTACATACAGAAATATTTTTAGTCACATATAGCAATGTTGGAACTAGGATGAACTTACTCAGCTTAACTGATCCATCCATTCCCAAGAGCACATTGTCACTTTTAATATCTCTGTGAATCACCTGATTGGCATGAAGGAATTCCAGTGCCTGAAGACACTATGAGACAACAAAAAAGGATTACTGTGTTAAGACACGTAAATATACATTGAATAAACAGAGTTTAATTGAAATGATACAATTTTTCCCCAAATTATATTTTTATGTGTGTGTACCACAACTAAGAAACATTCAGCTGTTATCAAAGCCCTGAAATACTTCTAACAATAAGAAACAAAAACATTTGAGAAAATTATTACCTACTGTATTTTTTGGCATATAAGACAACTGGGCATATAAGACGACCCCCAACTTTTCCAGTTAAAATACAGAGTTTGGGATATACTCGCCGTATAAGACTACCCTATCTCAATGCACACCAAATAAAGATTTAAAAAACATCAGATTTGATTTCAATATGGTGATTTTCCTATTACCATACCTCCTTCTCTGCCTCTCAGATCTCAAACATGCATGCCTGTGCCACTTCACTGCAGTCCTCAGAAGTGAGATCTGAGAGGTAGAAGGAGGTAGGGTAATAGGATACAAGGGCGGGACAGACAGGTAAAAGAGGTGTGTTTTTCTGGGCACAGCACCGCTCTATCTCTTTTTTCCATACCCCAGACGCCTGCAGTTTGCTCCGCCCTTCAATTACACCTTCCTGCTAGGTGCCCCCTCACCTCGTCATTGGGACCACGTTAAGTCACTTCTTTCCACGAATCCTGGTGAATGGATTTTCTTCTACTATACTTGTACAGCACCGCCCTTGCTGCTTTCATACGGTCGCCGCATACGGTTTTTGAGTTTCCCCCACCATATGCGATAACCATAGATTCTCAAGTCCAGCTCGGAAGTTTCAGCACCCACCCTATAAGATGACACCCGGTGTATAAGACAACCCCCAACTTTTGAGAAGATTTTCCTGGGTAAAAAGTAGTCTTATACGCCAGAAAATACAGTAATTGCATCAGTACACTTTGCTTGTGGCTAGAAATAATTCATGGTGCAAAATAAATGAATTAGTAGCTTTTTTAAAAAAAAATTAAAATCTATTAACCAAAAATTCAGGAAGATCGTGGAACGAAACCTACATATCTTATGCCATTACACTGGTCTTTCCAGCAGAATGCATAATCAAGCAGCTTCTGCAAATACAACTATCAAAGGAAGGGACACAGGAAGTTCTCAAAGTTGCCATGCCAATATGGTCTACACCAGGAATGGGCAAACTTCAGCCCTCCAGGTGTTTTGTACTTCAACTCCCACACTCCTACTGGCTGTTAGGAATTGTGGGTGTTGAAGTCCAAAACACCCGGAGGGCTGAAGTTTGCCCATGCCTGGTCTACACAGATTAAACAGAAAGCCATGTTCCTCCTCGGGAACTGTTCCCATAGTTTCCAGATTCAGGTGTCATTTCTAATTCAAATAGATGAGCAAGTTTAAGTATTTAATTCTGTGAAATGAATTTATATTTCAGCAGCTATAGAGACTTACATGATCACTGCAGCTTCCTTCCATGTGACCATTCCAAATGCTGACCTATACCTTCCCCACTCAACACCTTAAAAAAACCCTCCCAAGTATTAAAAATAGCTTTGCATTAGTAACTGAAATACAATCCTTCTAATTAATCATCACCCACCTCTCTGCAGACAGCAGCAATCTGTGCTTCATCCATACAAGTCTCTGTAACTACATCTGTGAGAGATCCGCCAGCAAGATATTCCATTACAACAAAGAGTTCATCTCCTACAAGGTAACTAAGGTAGAAAATGAAAAAGTTAAAACTTCAATAACTGAGACATAGCCTGAAAAGCAGGAGAACTTACATTCCAATCAAGGGACATTCTCCTGAAGGGGCATTCTCAGAAGATGGTGCTGGGGGACTCCTGTTTGACTCCTTGGCCACTGGTCTATGGGGTCCCTCAGGGCTCTGTGTTGTCCCCGTCCCCCCATGCTGTTCAATATATACATGAAACTACTGCAAGAGGTCATCTGGAGTTTTGGAGTGTGGTGCCATTTATATGCAGATGACACCCAACTCTATCACTCCCTTTCCACCTAATTCTACGGAAGCAGTTCCTGTGCTAAACCAGTGCCTCACAGCTGTAATGGACTGGATGGAGGCAAACAAACTGAAGCTTAATCCAGACAAGACAGAGGTGCTCCTGATCGGTTGAAAGACAGATCTGGGAATAGGGATTCGGGGGTCACACTCGCCCTGAAAATGCAGGTTCATAGTTTGGGGGTCCTCCTGGATTCAGCTCTGAATCTGGAGGCCCAGGTATCAGCAGTGACCAGGAGTGCTTTTGCACAGTTAAAGCTAGTGCACCAACTGTGCCCGTACCTGGAGAGGTCAGATCTGGCCACAGTGGTACATGCCTTGGTTACATCCCGGTTGGACTACTGTAATGCACTCTACGTGGGGCTGCCTTTGAAAAATGCTCAGAAGCTTCAGTTGGTCCAAAGAGAACCAGTCAGACTGTTAACTAAGGCTGGCTGCAGTGAGGGGACAAATCCCCTGTTGCGACAGCTCCACTGGCTGCCAACACATTTCCAAGCACAATTCAAAGTGTTGGTTTTGATCTACAAATCCCTATAGGGTTTCGCTATTTGAAGGACTGCATTGAATTATTGCCTATCTGTAAGCCGCCTTGAGTCCCCTCCAAGGTAGAGAAAGATGGGATATAAATATAGTAAATAAATAAATAAATAAGTGTATTTCTATGAACCTGGTAGACAACTACGACTTATTGAGAGGGGCCTTCTCTCTGTCCCACCACCTGCTAAAACGTGTTCAGTGGGAACATGGGAGAAGGGCTTTTAAAGATTTGCTTGGTTTTAAATTGATCAAAGTGTGTGACTGTTAGCTGCCTGAAGTCCCCTTGAGGAGAAAGGCAAGGTATAAATAAAGTATGTAAGTAAATAAAAAGGAACTTTACTTTTCTAAAAAGTAAGCTACGAGTCCCTCATTAGCATATATGTTGTTAGGAACCAAAACCTGAGACCAATTTTCTTGTTCCCAGGGTATGGACACTCTCACACAACATAAATATAGCATTATGATCTGACATTAGCTGCTATTTGTGTAGTATAAATCTGGTGATTCTACAAAAACAATGTCATGTAAAATGTCTCACTCATGCTTTAAAGAGGTTACACATTTATTTGTTGCACATACATCCTCCCTTTCCTTCACGAAACTTAAGAGCATTCTTATCAGATAGAAGACTAATTTTACATTCATGATTAAGGCTGAACTCTACAACCACAATAACACATGGTTAATTACCTGTCTAGAAAGTTGACTATATTTGGGTTCTTCAGTTCTTTCATTACTAAAATCTCATTGATAATTAATTCCTTCTTGGGCTGCTTCTGAAGATTTATCTGTTTAATGGCAACCTAGAAGAAAAACCCAAAGTGATAACAATATTCAAATATAACAATTTTAGTACTTGCCCAAGATTAACAATCATAAAGGTAACAATAAAAAAAGAAAATGGTAGCTTCCCTGACTACTCTCAGATATGAAAGCATCATAACATTTGATTTTCCTGACCCATAACATATATTCTAGAAAAGTGGCTCCTGTCAGGACAAAATACTTGCCAGGAAGGCAAGGAAGAAAGTACTCTGATAATTCAAAAACCACAAGAAAAAATTAGATACGCAATTGGCACCACATTACTCACAGAAAATATAAAATACTTGAACTGATTACTGAAAAAAAGCACAGTAGCAGGGCTACAGCTGAATGTTAAGGGAAGAAATAAAATGACCACAGGTTATTTACATAACTTTAAGGTGGGTGATGAAGACATCTAAATTTTATAAACCTTGGCTCAGACATTAATCAAAATTGGTAGTATTACCAAAACAATCAGAGAAAATGTGAGCTTCTGAAGGGCAGCTATGAAGGAACTAATAAAATCTTCAAGTAAAAGAACATATCATTAAATTCCAAAGATAATTCCAAAGTCAATGCCATACCGTTTCCCATCTCTATGTATGGTTAAGAAAACTGGCAAGAAATGAAAACTGAAGGGAAAAGATTAAACTTTGAAATCTGATACTTGGGAAACCACAAATTGAGAAAAGGACAAAAGAATGGTTCCAACAACAAATTAACTATCACTAGATGCCAAAATGAAGAAACTTACGCTGTTGTACTATGGACAAATATTGAGACGGCATGACTCATAGAAAGAATGATAATGTTTGCTAATGTAGCATAAAAAATGGAAGACTACATTACAGATGAATTGATTCATTAAGCTGGTAAAGGGCTTCTGAAACTCCTCATGTCCCCAATCTTTAAAGGCAATCCAGCACATTTCTAGGACAAAAACTGGGGAGAAAGCCTCAATACAAAAGCATCCCATCCCACTACCAAAATCCCACTATCCACAAATATCTGTTTTCCTCACAGACCTGATCCTACTTAGTTTTCAGTGTCAAACAATACAGGTTGAATTCAGAGTGATGCAGTGGATAACTAAGGAAAGCTTTCCATCAGAAATTCTACATAAAATATTGTAACATTTACAATCTATTTCTACTGGACCAAGCAAATATTATTTGCTGACATCTATAAAGCATATGATGCTGAAAAATAGTGATGGGGTTTTCTAGTTTGAAAAAAAACCCTATTAAATTTAATTTGCCACTCTAAACTGGAAATTCAAAGGTGTTAAAAGGCATGTTGCTCTTACCTCCTGTCCTGTTGCCACATCTATAGCAATGAAAACTGTACCTGAAGCCCTATGAAAGAAAAATAGTCCATTATTTGCAATGTTTCATATAGTGAACATGCAGGTGCATGAATGGGCAAAAGCAGTATCCTTCTTGAAATGGTTTCATTGTACTTCAGTTTTTTCCAGAAAAACAAGCTCTAAATTATAGGCTAAAAACAAGATCAAAGTCAACAGAAAACAAAAAGGAAAAGCTACATCTGTTTGCAGAGCACAACACAGAATAATTTGGGAACACTATATCAGCCTACATTTGGTGCCTAAAATAAATCCATTCCATGAGCAGGAAAAATTATAGATTGCATGGAATTCTTGTTCATAGTTTGCTACTTCATTCTACAACACAAACTGCAGTCAACAAACCATAAATAAATTTTGCTTTGGCTGGAAGTCTGCAGTTGGTTGGTATTGCCAATACTAATATATTGCAAACTTATTTTGGATTTGTAAGGACCACAAATGCTACAGAGAGAAAAACAATCACTATTGTAATAGCACCATTTATAATAAACATTATATAAACAATGCGCTTACTTACCCTTGCCCAATTTTTTCGTATCTGGTATACTTTTTCTTAGGATCGCCTATGCTCACAATCGTTCCTTTAAAAAAATCCATATGTAATATTATAAAATAATTGTGATTCATTAAAAGTCAATATTTCATCCAGCAAATGAATATATTAACTTGAATAAAGAGGTTGTATCAATCTTTAGAAGGTAAGGTTTCTATCAACTCCCCTCTCATGCAGCCAACAGCCCCATATGACAATTATAACCATGGGTCCCCAAATATTCAGCACCAGGAGAATGGAGAGGCTAGAAACACCTTGTGATGCAGACATGCTCTGTTCTGTTTGCAGAATGTTTATTCCAAACCACTTTTTCAGTGCTGAGATACCAATTTAACCTTTCCAAAAATCTCTATTTTGAATTAAGCAAAAATTCTATTATTTTATATATTTGTTACTATAGCATGTAAAAGTCACTTTTGTATGTTATACTGTTGATAATAAAATAAGCACAGGGGAAAATTATACAGGAAACAATATAAAATGGTTCAACACATTCAAAATACTTATTTGAAATCAAACATTTGTACAAGACTCATTAATTTTAAATGAAATGAAAATTACTTTCTTCATGGCCATCTCAGGCAATACAGTTGGCCCTGATATCCATAGGAAAAACCCAAAATCTGAAGATGCTCAAGTCCCTTATATAAAATGGTTGTAGTGTTGTACACAGATCATGTATTTATTCTTCAACTCTGGATGCAGAGGACAGTACCAGACATCACTCTGTGATTATACATGAACGTATCATGTTCTCTCACATCTTTTCCCCTCCTTCTTTTCCTTCTGTGGTGGTGTAGCCACCAAGCAAGCAAAGACGGATTTCCTCGCTTATTCAAAGGGAAGGAAAGTAAGAAAAACAGGAAAAGCCACTCGTAGTAATAGGAAGAAGCTGAGCTGATTCCCTCATCTCGATCCACAAACCATTTAGCTATGAACTCCATCAGATCCTAGTGGAGAACTTTCTTCCTTATTAATGCTTCCCTCATTTCGTAAACGGATTTCAAAACACTCCAAAACATGGCTCTTCACCCCACACAAGAAACAACTCTTGTTGCAGCTTTTCTGGGATAGCAGGAATTTGGGAGGATGTATTCAAAAGGCTGGTCATCACAGCCTGCTTTTTGGGGGGTGGGTGGGGTTATTTAGTATTAATAAAAAAAAGAGCAATCAAATTAGCAACCATGGTTACAAACCAGATTTCATAGGCTCAACTTTCACTTCAATGCCTTTCCTTCTTTTCTCCAAGCTAGGGTGGCTTCTGATTGTAATGACATAACAAAGCAAGGACATGTAAAGATGGGGAGCTGCCATTTAAAAGTAAATACTGTTGCACTTTTCTTCCCGCTTTTGGGGTACTGCACTCTCTCGTGTCCATTCAACTTGTCCAAGAGTATCTTTTGCAAATACTCAGTCACCACCTAGCTTTGAAAAAGTGGGATTAATTTTAATATATATATATATATATATATATATATATATAAATTTATAGTTGGTTCATATCCTGAACCAGCAGATGGAGGGCCAACTGTATTACTGGTTTTAGAAGCTATGGAATAAATACAGTATAATGAAATCTCAATCTCACCTTCCCTTGATACACACTCAAATGTGAACACATTTACAAATATGGAAACCAATCCTCTCAATATATAATATTATTACTGTCTAAAACATTTTCATACTTTATGATCTGGATGAAAAAATCTACAACTGCTCCACTGCATGACACACACAAAAGGATGTGGAATAATGGGAGAAGTTCCTTAACAATATGTTTCAATATTTCACCGCATCCCAGACCATTAGCCTGTACCCATTCCCACAATGAAGGAAGATTTGCTTACAGTTCCTATGAAGAGATCAAAACATGGTTCAAAGTGTGCAGTAAAAAGGGGCAAATGTTGTTTCATCAACCAGTTCATGTAACATTTATCTTCTTGAGAGTTTGCTTAAAATTCTAACTTACGTAGCCTTTCCATGATCTCTTCATCTGACATTTTAGTTTTCTTTTTCTGCCTATCAGCTGATTTAGCAGCACTGTCGCTTGAGTCACCAGATGGTGCTGGAAGGGGATCTATTACTGACCGTGTGTAAATCTGTAAGAAAATTAAAATCATTATTGTAGTTTCATGTTGTATCTAAATGGTCTCTTCTAAGGTTCAAGTTGTGACAAATAATATATTTGGTGGAAGATTCATGTCTATATTTTTAATTCATATTGCTTTAGAATGATACTGAAATTTGAAATAACTTGCCAGTATTTGGAGCTCAATTTAACAGCTGGCCTTCCTTCCCCTCCCCTCCCCCCTACAGTGTATATTGTAGATAATTAGAATTACTTCTTCAAAGAAATGTGATAAAGAAAAATTTCCCAACAAATTTTATAAAGCAACACAATGTCAACTTGTATAGCAAAGATGAAAGGTGCACAAACCCTAGATATGGTGGAACTGTAATTTTCATACTTCCAATTTATTGTTGTTGTACACTAGTGATTCTAGTTTATGGTGACCCTAAAGCAAACCCATTACAGGGTTTTCATAGCAAAATGTGTTTGAAGAGGATATGCCTTTGCCTCCTTCTAAGGCTTTAAGTGTAACTTGTCCAAGGTCACCCATTAGGTTTTCATGATTGAGGAGATATTCAAACCTGGCCTCCAGAATCACAATCCAGCACTCAAACCACTACATCCAAGTGCTCTCCTGCGCATCTTATAGATAAGTACTGTATTACTTCCATGCTAGAGACTAAGAAACCTAGGAACTTGACTATTTAGTTAAAAAAAAACCACTCACTGATTTTGTATGATCTGGTCGTGGGGCAATAATTGGAGGAGCCACTTCATCATCATCCTCTTCTTCAGCTGCTGCGGAAGGCTCCGAGACTTTTGCATTGGGCTATATTTGTTGTTTTAAATAAAGAAAATTCAGGATGTGTACTATATATCCATGTTAGAATGTTTAAGCAACATAGTAAAATATACCAGAGCATACCACTTTGGTATATGATCTGGCCCACTTCTACCTTTCGTATGTTTAACTTTGTGTTTGTGTGCGGCAGCTAATACATACAGAGGACAAACTATGTCATCCACAAAATCATTGGCTAGTATTTCTATAATGTGGACCCAGATAACCAGGTATTATATAAAATCTCCTTATTCATATGCCTACAGTTAGTCTCTCTGCACTGTCCATAGCAAAATCAGAGTTTGGCTATAAGGTCCACATGTTTCGTTTGGCTCAGTAATCATGGCCTTACCTGAGTTTTGCATGGAATATGAAAAAAAGCCAAACAATGGAAATCTGTTTATTAGAGTACTATAAAATTCAGGGTGAGTTTTGGCCTTTCTTTACATCATAGAGGAGACAGGGGTTTTTTTAAGACGATGCCTTCTGTACCACTCCTGATGATATGCAAAATCTAGTTTCACTTGCCATTCATATGGCATGTTTCAGTGTTGCATGAGGGTCTTTATAGCTAGAACTCAAGGTTATCCTAATGCTGGGTTTTAGCATAAAGTGTAAGCAATTGCCTGGAACAATCGCATTCTAAGAACAGTGGAGGGCAAAAAAGCATCCCCTGTTCCTCCCTCAAATACTTATTCCAAGTAAGAAAAAAGAGGTAGAGTTGCACTCCTCCCACTACATTTTTCCATGAAGCAATGCAGATTTATTCGATACTCAACAATACTATCATATAATAAACATACTTACTGCTGGTGCTCCTGAAGGGAATCCATCCTTTTCTAAAAGAAAGTTTTGAAAAGTATGCAATGTAAACATTAATTTCAAATATTTCAGTGCAAGATCATTGCTTAACAAAAAGGTGTGAATGTATGCCACCATACAATACTACTTTCAAGATAGAGCACCTGAAATATTGTTTTCCAGGCTTCAGGAAGGTACCAAGACATAGGTACTACCTACATCAATAAATACCCTCTATAAACCTATTCTGTTGATCCCATGCTTCTATTCTAAATGTAGTATTTTACATAACATTTTCAAACACCTCAAAATTCTACAAATACATTAAAAGAAAAACATACACAAAGCATAACAAGTCAGGGATTAAAGGTTCACCATTAATCTATGTAAACCACACCTGTAGCAGAGAAGCTCAAATATTTCTGTTTTGCTGTGTCTTTAGAATCATAGAATTTCAACACATCAAGTACAGCCTGGGGGTTCTTTTTCTGCTCTAACTTGGTGATGTTTGAGGTCTGTAGCAGTCGAGCCCATTGCTCTGGCATTCCCTGGAAACAAAAGATAAAATTAAGTGCCCTTCATATATAAATATATGCTGAAATGAAATTACAACACAATCATTCTCTGGTTCCTAGAAATGATGCAACTATCAGCACAATCTTCATTTCATAAATATGCTGATTCCATAATGTTCAGTACATTGACAATAAAGCAATATTGTCTGCATCAACCACCCTAGTTGGCTACACAACTGACATCTACAATGAATGTTCAGCGGGATTCCAGATAATATTGACTGTGGGCAAGATACTTACTATAACATCCAAGCACTTACTCTACTTACTTTCACTAATTAGAGCAGCTAAACAAACATACAATTGCATGCTTGCTTAACCTATAACAACCCATACAATTGTTTGTTTGTGCTGGAGTTCTTAACCTGGGATGGGATTCTGTGAACTGCAATTTTCCATTCTGATATGCTTCCTGATACTTGGAATTTTTCTGGTCAATTGTAAGGTACAAATTTAATCCTTTCAAATGTCCCTAGTAACGTTTTCCTTCCAGACTAGACTATGTGCAAATGCAATAATAAATGTAGTGTATGCAAAATTGTATGTATATGTTTCTGTGCATGTTCCTTGGCAGGTGTTCAGGACTTCAAAAGGAAAATAAACATTAGTTTAGGTCATCTGAACCAGAAATGCTCTCAAACAAGTCAGGATTTGTTAACTGATAAACCTTTTAAAAAAAATAATTCTGATTTGTCAAGGGCAAACCAAGTAGGGAACAATGGCTCAGATAACATACCAAACAAATCATCTGCATCCACCTAAAGCTAGTTCAAGGTAAACCAGAATTTCCTAGAAACATGTAGGCATTCTACATGTTTCCCAAATGGAAACATGTAGAATGTCTATATCAAATTAAGTTAACACAACTTTGTATAGTGGCTACATTTTTCTGTCTTGTCGAGCTATGATAAGTATCTACTGATGATAATTTTTGTGCTTAAATACATGAAAAGCTCAAGCAAACACCAAGGTTTGAAGTATCTGAATACATTCTCTTCTCTACAATGCTAAGCTCGATACACTTACAGTGAATTCCCCAGTAACAGCATCAAAGCCAACATGAATGGTATGTTCAAAGTCTGATGGAGGAGAAATTTCAGGCCTTTCTTTTTCCTTTTTTCTACTTCCTACAAAAACAAAATAAAAGATATTCAAGCCAAGGAAAATATCCACATACACTTCTTCAAATAGAAATGTTAGATGTGTGTATATGCCCACGATGCTTATAAATTTTGTCTTGAACAAAATTTCTGCTAAGTCTATTGAGAAGAAACATAACCTTTGAGTAGTCAATGAAGCAATGAGCTTGTGTTTGGTAAACAGATACTAAAATTTGTTGAAAGTTACCAGTAATTCAGGAACGTGAAGGAGATTAGAAAACTCTCATAGTTCTAACATATCATTCTGTGAGTACATGTTTCACGTGGAAAAGGTCCCAGCTTCAATTTCTGGCAGACATAATTAGAAGGAACTTCTGAAGATAACAGGAAAGATTTTTTCCCACAGTATTCTGGCCAAAGTTAATGATGCAAAAATAGATAGAAAATACTATGATGTCAAACAATGCACATTTCCCACTTTTGATTACTTTATAATGAAGGAAAACTGCACAAGACCTCAATGAATCCAGTAGTTATGCTCAATTTAAAAAACAAATTATTTTGATTAGATTGTATTGTGTGTTGTGTGGTACAGGGAAGAACCTACTGCGCCGACTGGTTTTACAATATGTAGGATGTCGCTACGCTAGAAAGCACAGAATAATCACAAATTACATAGAAGGTAATCGAATATGTATACACAAAGAGGGCTGATGACGGCAACCTTTAAGAGTAATTTCAACATAATAAATAAGCAATTTTAAAATATTGAATTATAGTTTTAAACTATTTATAATAACCTTTATTAATAAAATGAAAATAAATGTAATGGAATGTGCTTGCAGAGTTCAAACTGTGAATAATATATTTAATCCGCCAAAACATAAAACTATGGTAGAAGATCCCCTGTTTCCCCATGATGCTAACAGCAAAAACTATTTGGATTATTTGTCAAAATCAGAACAAATAGTGCCTGTAATAAAGAGGCCTAAATCACTGATATACTCTGGAAAACATCAGACTCAAAAAGATTTCTACTAGATCAATTTCACCAGGAATGAGGACATGCATTCAGTTTGTAGAACTACTTTAAATAAACACAGACTATGACAAGTAATAGTCAGCAAAAGAATGCAGACAGTTAGTCATCTTTTGTCAACAACTTCATGAGCTTTATTTTTATAGTAGTAGAAAGTCATTATTTGGTAACTATGACCATATGTGCACTACGGTTCAGTATTTAATATACATTTCTTCCACATGTTTCTGAATTGGTCAGTCAGGCATTTTATTTGCACACTACTTTCACTTACATTATATATTCAATCATTTCATAATAAAGCAAATTGCACATGCACCCTCAATTACATGCTCATGCCTTTGTTTTGACCAAACCTATGCTCCATTCATGTGTTTCTAGAGCACATTAAATCACAGCAGAATTCCATTACATTTAGAGCAGAGGTGGACAATTTGCTGGGGGCCAAGATTACAAACCTGACTCTTTCCCCACATGGGCTATTCACTATGTCAGGACATCCCTTCCTGTCATCATTCTAGAGGACAAATAAAAGGAAATAAAATATTTGAGGAAGTGGATGTTAGGGAACACTCCTGTATATGTCTATGTGATTTTGGGGTACTTTTAGGGGAATTCTTGGCAAAAAGAAATCAATATTTAATGGGGGGAGAGTTGGGGGATGGTTTCAGTGCCCTCTAAAGAGTGGTCCTAGGTCTGCAAACCATGGGCCACATTCTACAGAGTGCTGATTAATTTATTATCATCAGTCATTAATGTCTTATGCAAACATCTAGTACTAGTCAAAGTAAAGCCAAACAAAATAAGAACCCACTGACTAAACTACCACACAAGGGCCTTCATGCCTTAGGTTCTGGTTCAAAATTTAGGAAAATTGAAAACAGTTTTGAAAAGGCTAGCCAATATAATGCTCAGAAAAATCAATACAAGCAAAATGGGCATTATGTCCTCCTAGTTGCCAGATGTTCCTGAGCCCTTGCAAATTCATGAGAATTAAGGGAGTTCATTCAAGAGAAAACACTTTAGGTAATTTATTCCTTTTAAAACAGACACAAACAACACACAGAAATTTTTGTTTGGAGAACTCTATATAGATTATTTCCACTTTTCATGCACTTTTGTACTTCACAATCTAGAAGCAAATAGTCTAAAACTAGCTTCTGCATGTTCCCATCTCCTGTGGAATAGGAGTTCCCTTCCCAAGTTCTCAGTATAGAAAAGAAATGGTATTGGGTTCAGGCCAAAACACAAAGACGACAGTAACCTCTGGCTGACAGTCTACTTACAAGACCAGACTAATTGGTTTTAAACTCTAAGGAAATGAAAACACTCTCCTTTCAAGCCAGACCTTATAGATAAACAGGCATGCAATAAGCACTGAAATAGGATATGAGATGCACTCTTCTATGCGTCCATTGTTTGCTTGCCAAAATCATGCAACATAAAAAATAGAAAAGGGAAGTGTTCCTTGAACCTACAAAATGCGGATTCTTACCTTTTTCAGTGCCAGAAAAAATAGAGATGATTTTGTTCCGAGGTTTCTTCTCCTCTGGCACAGATGGCAGAGGTTTCAAGCTGTGATTAGCTGATAATGGATCTTTGCTGGCTGGACTGAAGATAGTGCTGCTCATCCGAACAGGTGGAGCTGGTGGCTTGTCTTCGAGTTCCCCGTTATCAGACATGGTACTTAATGAATTAGACAATACACTAAAAGTGAATGGTGAAACACATTATTAGAATAGGTGCATGAACATGACAAAAGTATGTTACACTTTTTTTTATAAAAAAATCTTCTTTCCTATTTATAATTATTTACTACAATGAAAGAGCTATTCAATTAAGAACTTGCATTCTATTATTTTTGATACTCACTTCAGAATTTAAGCTGTAAAATATTTCTTATTGCCAGATTTTAGGCACATAACCCTTCAAAAATCTGACAGAAAATGAATAAATGACTGAATAAATGAATGAGACTTTATTTCTATTCCCAGTGGGGACTCAGGGTGGCTTACAACACTATAGAGGCAAACATTCAGGAATGAATACACATTCTGTTCATTCTGCAGCAGAAAGAGGGAATGACAAGTTAGTACTCTAAAACAAATGGAATCCAAGTTGCAATTTAATGTTTTCGGCTCTAAAAAACTTTACCTGCCTGTGATTAGGATGTAATACATAGATCTGAGGTGGGAATCATGCTACTTTCCAAATGCTGTTCACATGTAACTTACAGTATTATCCATCATTCTGCCCAAAAGTAAGGTTTACTATTAGGTCCATGTGTTGCTTCTTCCACAAAATTTGTTTAAATTCCTAACAAAACAAGTATTCTGTTCCAACAAATCACCAGGATTTATGAATGCCAGACACCTTGTCAAATCTCCACCAGGAAATATTTTACTTACTTGCTTTACAGTATAATTGAGGATAGGTTTTGGTTGTTTAAACCTTCAAATCAAAAAATTGCATAATCAAAATGCATTCAGGTTAGGATTCACTTTGCCATCTATGCCATGGCTAAAAAGAAAATTCTGGACAAACCTAGGTATTCCGTCCAGTGTGATTTAAGTCCAGGCAGGAATTGTCTCTTTGTCTCTAAGATGATACAATTTGGCCTGCAGGCAAAATACCTTTTTTGCTCTCCCTACCTCTCCCCAGCCTGCAAAGATCAAAGGCACTTTGTTTTACATTAGGAAAGTTTTTCTTCTATTATTGATTAGAGCTTCTTGTATAATAATAAAGTCTATGTTTTGGTATTTTTTTAAAAAAAAGAATGACTGTAATAACTCTTTAATAAATGATTAATAGCTACGAACAACTTTTCCTTTTGTGGAGGTGGTTATCTGTAGTTTTAAATCAATACACAACTGTACTATAATGATAAGTACCCCCAAAACAGGATGCTACGGATGCTGTCTTATTAAAGAAATCTTAATTGATTAACCATACAAAATCTACTGAAAGTTAGGAGGCTTATTTTAAATGCACCAATAGCACACATGTTAAAGACATTTATTTCTGTTTGACAGAAAGAGGTGAATACATATTAAGGTTATATATGAAGTACTTAAAACCACCTTAATTAATGACATCTTAAGTTTTTTTTAAAAAAATCAGGGGACATGCTTAGCTTTCTTTCAATCCTTAATGTTATTAGTTGGGGGGGATGTTAGAAAGGTACTTTCAGAGGATATATTAGACAAAATCAAATTGTATCATTTTGTACAGGAGCAACTTGTCACAGACTATGCTTTCAAATCACACCAATAAYAATCCATGTTTTCAGTGTGGAATACTAAAAATCTTGCAGCCAAACTACTCAGAAGCCTTCTCCGAGCCACTGCAGCCCCCCCCCCCACCTTAAAATCCAAATGACCCCACCTCTGAAAGCCAAGCTCTCATCAGTTTATGAACACTTGGTGTTAGAGAAATGTTTTTATCTGCTGACGATAGGCGAGCAGGGATGGGGCCATCCTGGTYGCTCTAGGGGTCCTTCCACACAGCCATATAAACCAGAATATCAAGGCAGAAAATCCCACAATAGCTGAGGGCCCTTCCAGACAGGCCCTATAACCCAGGATCTGATTCAAAGTTTTCTGCTTTAAACTGAATTATATGAATCTACACTGCCAGATAATTTGGGATAAACAGAAAACCTGGGATCAAATCCTGGGATATAGGGCCTGTCTGGGAGGGTACTGGGTTATCTGAGTCCACAATGCCATATATTCCAGTTCAAAGCAGATAATGTGGGATTTTATTCAGCTGTGTTGAAGGGACCTAGGGAGGAAGTTACAGAGTCTGGGAACAAACACCAAAAGGCCTGCAGGAATTGTGACTGTTGTTACTGTGTACCTTCAAGTCATTTCCAACTTATGGCAACTCTAAGGCAAATAAATCACAGAACATTATTAACAATATATGTTAGAGGGTGTTTGCTTCTGCGTTCTTCTGAGGCTGAGAAAGTATTACTTGCTCAATGTTACACCGAAGGGGTGGAGGGGGGTGTCCATGGCTGAGCAAGGATTCAAACTGTGGTCTCCAGAATCAAAATACTCAAATCACTACGCTATGCTGGCTCTATAGGTCCCTATAAAAGAATCTAGCAGGCAATCTCTCAGTACAAAACAAGGTAGTGTTAAGAGACCTCTAGACATGCTCATACATTATGCTAAGAGAGGTAACACATAGTCAGAAGAGATGCCAGCACAATGGTCTTGTTAATGCCCTTGCCTTAATAAACTAAGTAAAACCAAATACAAGTACACACTTCACAGCTATGGCATCCCTGTCTAGTCCAGGGGGTTAGATTAGATGACCCATGTGGTCTCTTCCAAATCTATGGAAATCTGTAAATGCAGTACAATTAGAACTAAGGTTCAATCAGTAGACAGACATATTCATCAAGGATTTTCCCAGTCAACTGTAGTACAACCAACAGTGATTGAATCTCAATTTTTGCATCTGTCCAAGAAAGAGAGAAATTTACAAAGAATGGGGATTCTGTGCTATACATTATCCCTTGTACTAATCAATCCTCCAAAATCATACTTCACTAATTCCATTCTTATCAATTAAACCCTATCTATTCTGACCATTGTCTTGCCTCTTATTTTGATCTGATCAATTCTAACTAATATTTCTGTGATACACAGCAGCTTTTGAAAAATCCCATTAAAACAGGTCAGTCACCGGTCACCTCCAGCATTTTATGCTCTCACCATCTCCTAACAGACCATTTTATAATACTTGTAATACATATCCACAGATATAACATAAAGACAACATTTTACAAAAGTCCACAGTCATATAATCCTTCCCCATCTTTGATACCCTCTTCACCTGCAGTTCCAAACTTGGCCTTCAACTGTTGAACTTTGGGAAACGCACTTTGCAAATTATTCTTTCCTTGGGTCTCCATCATAAAATGCACTGTGCACTTTTCTTTGTTAAAAGGGGATAGATTATTTGCATGTGTCATCTTTTACAAAGCTAAACCCTTGCTTTGCTGAAACTACAACTCAAAATGTCAATTACTAAGCTCTTTCATGGTGTAAGAGGAAATCCTCTTCTGTATTTTATGGTCATGTTAAAACAGGAAGTGAATTACTGTAAGTCATTTCAAAAGACCAATAAAGTTACATTTCTGCAGAATATATAGCAGCACTCATGAAGTATACAAATCCCAGTTATAACTTCGATCTACTTCATTATTCTACCCACAATGGAATGCCTAGTTGTTTGTGAAGTACCTATTATCCAACATATTCCATAAAATAAACAAACAACTGCTTTCAGGTAAAAGGTGGTAATAATGTGATTTATTAATTATAGTTAAAACTGATTCCTTATCAAAACACTGTAGAATTGAACAAGAGATAATTTCATTAACTTTCATTGACTATTTTAGGAAAACAAAACTGCATAAATAACTAAAGTTTTCTAATAAAGAATTTTTTTCACTAAATTTCCTAATACAATCTAGGAAACCAAAATTACAATGCTCAGACCACTTTAAAAATACAATAAATCTCTGCTGAAGTGGTACAAACAGAATAACATCCTAATACTGTGGATTTCTAATCAAAAGTAAATCATACTAACTTCAATGGGGTTTATGCAATACTGCATCTGAAGTCAACAAGATTTTAAAAGTGAGTAATAATTGTTTTTCAATCACTCAAAAGTAAACATGGTCAACACACTCTTCCTGTACTTTATTCTTAGAATGTGCATGTAAAACATAGTGCCACTCTCCACACATTGCCACTCTCCACCCCCTTCAGTAATCTGTTAGAAATGTGAGTGGCCTTTAGCATCTCAGCTCATAAACTGGAGAAGGGGTTTTCCAGTAGCCTAATATGACCAATTTTGATGGGATTTTGCAAGCAAAGTATTTCATATATATACTGCTGCAACCAGAGCAATACAAATACTGTAGATGCATTTTGGTACCTGCTACTGCAATTAAATTGGGTGTCTTTTCAATTTGATATGAACTGGATTCATTGAAACTTGAATCCAACCAAATATCTATTCACATCCTCACTTGCACATCCTGGCCAGGAAGAGTATTCAGATGTGGATTATAGACTCACAGAATAATAGAAGTGGAAAAGGCAACAAAAGCCATCCGGTTCAATCCCATCACGCGGGGATATACAATCAAAGCACTACCAACAGATGACCATCTAGCCACTATTTAAAAACCTCCAGTGAAGAGAACTCCACCACACTCAAAGGAAGTATATTCTACTGTCAAACAGTTCCTACGGTCAGAATGTTTCTCCTAATGTTTGGGTGGGATTTCTCTTCCTGTAGTTCAAATCTGTTGCTCTGTGGATTGACCAAGGAGGTGAGAGAAGTAGTAAGTGTTTCACGGAGGAATGGAAGACATCTCTGCACATCTGTGAGGTTACTAAAAAACTCGCACCTCTTCATCAAACCCTACAGAGAAATTGCTGCCTGTTCCCAATCCTTGTAGAAAACAATTCTTGAGGAATCTTAACACATTAAGAGGTTTATTGTGACATCAATTTTCATGAACCAGAGCTCATTTCATCAGCTTTGTGAAATGCTATCCTCACCAAATACAAAGTATGTTCCATGCAAACAGATGCAGATTCATGAAAGTACTAAATTTGAACCAGATGCAGAAACAGAAAATAGTAGCTAAATTCTATTTTATTATGATTAAACTTAAA